CACATTTCCAACAAGAAAATGCTCTGTTATATTGTACATGATTACAAAGCAAACTTCTGGCTGGGAGATCAGCTGTTCCGCACAACATGAAGCATACAGTGTTAAACTACATGTATCACAATATTTTTAACTATAGAAGCGTTGGAATTTAATTTCTTATCTGTCATCAATATTGATAAACAAATACAGTCATATAGGTATTCCGAATCACCCCACATATCGCGATTCTTGGTAATTTACCATGCCGCTGTACCTCACACGACACGTGTGACAACCAAACAGTCATTAAAAGCAAGGTGTATTCTTATTACATACAAAAAATAAAGAGGTAAACATACATGTAATGTATTAACTTGCTATCCTTTTTGAAGAAAATGTCCATGTAGAAACGTTGCAGGTATTTCTCATCGATGTCATCGTAGCATTGTTGGAGGAAACATGGCATATTAGTTATTGATATAACGGCAATTTTATAAGCTTCCATGAGCATTAGTTGTTTTTGATAACACCTCAGATATATATTAGTTATGACTGCATTTGTCCCTTCAGTTTGGGGTATTTCAAACCATGTGTGTACATGACTGCAGCCAAATACATTGCACATGCTACACACTTTCAGATATTTTTATAACATTGTTTTTCTTAAATGCAAGGGGCATGAGAGTAATGATTTGACAAAGCAAGAGCTAATAAGACTAGCTTGGGTCCCGGTATGCACTTGATCAGTGTTGATCACTGTTCATCCTTTCATCATACAAATACGGACACATGCATGTGTACACACAGACATGTATGTACAAGTATGAGTACATGCAAGTTATGCAGTGATATATGTCATACTTGATAATCATGATATCTAAACATTCCTTTACGTACATTTTTTTATCATCATTATTATCTTTTTTTTTTGGTAGCCTACTTGTACAAATATGATTAACAGATTTATTATAAGTATTACATGTTCAATGTTAATTGTTTTGCATTGGAAAAAAAAAAATCACATGGGTAAAAAAAATGACTTAATTGTATTTACAACTTAATTATTCTGTGTTTTGGTCCATGGTGATGATAACCTTTGTTAGCCAAGGATTTGTAATCTGAAATGGAGGAGGGGAGTGGATCATAAACCCTTGGTTAGAATGGGTGATGTTCTGACATTCACATTGTGTTGCCAGATAGTTTTCAGCATTTGTTCTTTCTGCAGAGCCATTAAGATTTTAAACACTGTTGTACCCCTGGTTTATGTATGGGAGAATTATAAACAGAAACTGATTCATGAGATTCTAATTTTTAGCTCACCTGAGCTGAAAGCTCAAGTGAGCTTTTCTGATCACCGATTGTCTGTCGTCCGTCCGTCTGTAAATTTTTCACATTTTCAACCTCTTCTCAAGAACCACTGGACCAATTTTAACCAAATTTGGTACAAAGCATCCTTGGGTGAAGGGAAGTTTAAATTGTTAAAAAAAGGGCCAAGCCCCTTCCAAGGGGAGCTAATCAAGAAAAGACAAAAAAAGGGTGGGGTCATTAAAAATTCTTCTTCTCAAGAACCACTGGGCCAGAAAAGCTGAAACTTATGTGGAAGCATCATGGGGCAGTGTAGATTCTAAATTGTTCAAATCATGACCCCGGGGGTAGGGTGGGGCCAAAATAGGGAATCCAAGTTTTACATTGAGATATGTAGAAAATATCCTTAAAAATCTTCTCCTCAAGAACCACTGGGCTAGAAAAGCTGAAACTTATGTGGAAGCATCCTCGGGTAGTGTAGATTCTAAATTGTTCAAATCATGATCCCTGGGGGTAGGGTGGGGCCACATTAGTGAATCCAAGTTTTACATTGAAATATATAGGCAAAATCTTCAAAAATCTTCTTCTCAAGAACCACTGGGCCAGAAAAGCTGAAACTAAAGTGGAAGCATCCTGGGGTTGTGTAGATTCTAGATTATTCAAATCATGACCCCTGGGGTAGGGTGGGTCCACAAAAGGTATTGCAAGGGGGGAAATCAGGTGAAGAACAGCAGGCCCAAAGCTACTCAGGTGAGTGTTGTGGCCCATGGGCCTCTTGTTTTACTGTAATGTTATGGGCTGCTGTGGACATCATGGACACATTTTTTTTTTTTTGAGGAGTGGGAAAAAGGGGGAGGGTTTAAAATTCTATCCTACAATTCATCATATTACTGGAGCTAATGCAGTTTACATTCCCAGATGTAAATTTATATTATCAACATGTTGTTAGTTTGCACTGGTGAGGGACTTACATGTATAAACATTGAGTTTGCTCTACTCTCAAACCCTTTTATATACATATATTTTAATTTGTCAGGAGGAAGAATGTAATTTATGTGAACAACTTCTTGTTCAAACTGCAAGAATTTATGACCGAATTTAACTGTAAGCAAGATTTTTCAAAAAACAAAAAAATTAAGAATATTAAGAATTAAATACCAGTAATCATAAAATATTTCTGCATTAGGTTTATTTTGTAGATTTATATAATTGCAAACATGATACAAGTTTTTAAAAAAAATTATATAAATCAATCATGCCTTTTATTTCTCCATATCATATGGCAGGATATACTTTTGTGAAACCATAGAATATTTTGTATTAATTTTTTGATTATTTAATCACTACATTTGCCCCAGCAATCATCTCTGTCCCCATTCAATCAAATTATAATACATGTATGTTTAATAACTTTTAAAAATGTTTTACTATTCAAAATTGATTTGACTTGTTTTAAATTCAGCCTATTAGTATGTAATCATATGACTCAGATTAAGTTCATGTTTAGATTAAGAATTCCAGTGTAGGTGTATAATTAGATGCATATTTGTAAAACTGTCGTATGTCAAGGTTATAATGTTGTACATAGAAAGCCTCAAAAAGAATTATTTTTAATTACTAGCAGCACTAATTTGTTACAAGAAGCAGGCAAAATATGACCATAGAATTTCATACCCAATCACAAAAGTCATTGATTGATGATGTATTTTACTGACATTATTTTCTGAACATTGACTGCTTCATTGAATCGGAACTCCCAGGTAAAGACGTTGTAGGTAGGCTAACGTAGGCAGGGCATAAAAAGGTACTAGGCCTTGGGACATCAATAAGATGACAGAAAAGATTGCACTACAAACACTTCTCTAGGGCGGTGTCATTAAGCTGTAGTAAATACCTGGAGAAAAAGTGTGTGAAATTTTGGGGAAACATTTTTTTTTTGGCACACATTTATTCCATTGTGAGGTAAGGCAGCTGGTATACTTTTTCATTCCTCTGTTTTCTTGCTGTGTAATGTAATTGAATTCTGATAACCATTATGAATATGCAGCACCTGAGATGCCAGTGTATTTTGTTTTGCTAGTTAAGAGATTGGTGTGTGCTGCAGTGATTAAAGGAGTTTCAGAATATCCAATTATTGTACATGTATAATATTAACAAGGATATTGTTTTGTAATATAAAACATGTCTTTTTTTGTTTGGAAGTCTTTGTATAGGTACCAATCAATAAATAGATATATACACTGTATACAGACATTGAAATGAAAATGACATATTGGAATTTAGTGGCTCTGCAGAAATTCTTAATTGGTTTTATATGTAGCTGACATTATGTAGGTTGTAGTGTGTGGGTAATATAAAGTAAATTATAGGGTGAAACACATGTATTCTTGCTGTAAATGTGAACCTTTTTCATGTTTTATGCTTAAAGATTGAGGGTTAAGATGCATACAGTGTAAGGGTCTTTTAGGTACTTCATTCAGTCTACAGTACTACATGTATACAATAAAATTAGAAACAGTTGGTTGCTTTTGATGTATCAGTGGGTTGACTCACTTATACACAACTGTTTACTGTTTCATTCTGAGAAAAATGCATTGGAAATCCACTGCATATCACTTATACATGAGTAATAGGAATGAAATGACAAACTAACCAGATTTCTATTAACAAGATCTGTGTTCCTTTTGACAACAGTTTGCCTTTATCATCACCTCTTGGTCCTGATTATATTACACAGCCATTGATTTTCTTGGAAATCTACCACACTTTTCAGTGTGGAAAACAAGCTGCTAGATCTTAATTCCTAGAGAAAATTGTGGACAACCAGACATAGAAATTGTCTATCTACCAAGGTCTCATGGGAATCTTGAGAACCAATTTAATTTTATAATTGTGCAAATATTTTATGTGATATGTGATACAAGGTTTTCTAATAAGAGAGTCCCCTCCCACATAGTTTTTTGAAATACAAGTATGTGCTAGTCTTCTAAATCAGTGTTCATTGTATGTAGAAAGAAAATAAAAACAAAGCTTGAATTTATTCTTTTATATCAAGTGAGTTTGAGTAATGAGTCAAAAAAAATTATATGTACATGCAATGTTAACCACTATGCCATTGAGGTTTCTGAGAACTAAAAAATTAGCATAATACTATGCAAAGCAAGCTTTGGGTATTACATGTATCTCGTTCCTATACTCATTGTGTTTTTCCCCCTGGTAGCATACAATGATTTTCCTGCTGATTGCTTTCATTGCACTTCAATGTGAAATATGATTACGTTAAATGACCTCTTAATGACTCTCTGCAGTTGATTCTGGAGACAATTATAATGAATGATTGTTTGAGGATAATGTTCAAAGACCAGAAAATCAATTCTCCACGGAAATTTGAAGTCAGCAGTCTCCCGTGAAAACAAGTACATCCTCCACTCTGTACTTGTTATTATAATGCATTATTAACAAGGAACTAGAATGTAAGGTGGGGAAAAAATAATGAAGCAGTCTTAAATTTGTTAGCTACAGTGAAAGGTGCCCTTTGGGTAACAAGAGACTGTCTGTCATTTTTCATGTTTGTTGTGTAATGAATTAATTGAAAAGTTAATGTACTTGAAATTAAGATTCTGATATGGATTTTGATGCAGAACTGCACATGGTACCTTGGATGTAAAGCTTATGGGAATTGATTAATTAAGAATTGATTAAGGTGTACTTGTTTTTTCGGTGCATCATATTATGTGCATTGTGATAGTCAGTATGAACATTTAGGAACTTGATTGATGAGGAATTCTGTTTAGACGTTTAAACACAGGTTAGTTAATTCAAGAATAAGATATTTATAATAATTAGGTAAAATTATCCTGAATCTAAATGATCATGACTGTTGCTTGAACTAGGTCATGTGTGGAATTCTTGCTTTGACATCAGAATGTGACATGTTTTTATTTCTCATTGTAGGGATATTAGAACATGTGTGGTTGTTGTTGTGGTAAGGTAAGTCAAATTAAGTTTATGATGGAATCATGATGGAAAATCATTGATTATATAAAATGAAATTTTCTCTTATCATTCTTATTTAATCAGAATTTTTTAGTATGTACTTATAAATTCAAGTAGCTACTTCTATTGTTGTTGCTATTGGCAAAAAGAAAACTTGAAAATTGTGTTCATATGATTATCCTATTAAAATGCACCCATGCATTAAATATATATATATTAAGAAAGACCTGAAACTGTTTTTTAATATGCCATTGCTGAGGTAAATATGTTTGACATTTTTATTTCAAGACAGAAATGAAACATCTCTGAATTTCATCCATAATTGTTTCAATAAAATGTTGCATTTCAAAGAAAAAAATTTGCAAGGATTATCAAAATTAACATTTATAAAATTGTATAAATTATATTTTTAAGAATATTTTCTTCGTGTTTTGTGGATGTAGATTTTAGAGACCTCTAAATTAAAATAAATAGGGAGCAATATGGAAGGTGTATAAGTAACGTACCATCTCATTAATTGCTTCCTTGTTTGAAATCAGCTACAGCCAGATCTGTAAGTTTGTATTAGTCACTTCCTTCTTTTAATGCCCCCAAACAGGTTTGTTAAAAAATGCGATTTCCATTTTAATTGAAAAGAAAAGTTTTAAAGCATTTTATTGCTCAAGTGTTTATGTCATAACTTGAACAGGAAATGATTGAAAATAATTTTATAATTTAAAAGCTGCCATATGTTTCCATGATAAGCTGGAAATTATTGATCAACTAAGAATTTAGAGAAGCTCCGTTTCTGTTCAACATGTCAAAAAAAAGCTGTATTGGTTAAGGGCTACATCTTCAGTGGTAATCGGGAGTTATTTGATCATTATTCCCCATGGACCTGTGACAGGAACACTCCGTCTCATCAATATTTTATATTTACACGACCTAAAAGCATCAAACATCCGTAAAAAGCCAAACTAGAATATAGCTTCCTATAATACTCTTGATCTTAGTCCTAGGGACCTAAAGCAAAATGTTAGATAATTTACATATACTGGTACAATGAGTAAAAGCAATCTGGAGTTTCCTTGGAAACAGGGACTGTAAAATAATCCAAGATTACAAATTCTATTAACATTTGAGTTTTGTAGCTAGTGCTGAAATATTTTATGCCCCTAATGATAATACACCAGAAGTTTGAGCTCCACTGCTGTTAATGCTTTTACTAAATGAAACACATGGACTTTTTTTTCACAGGATTCTGCGGAAGATAAAGCAGATCTAACGAATCCAATCAAAAATCGAGGATGCACCGACATCATTGTTCTGATTTTGTTTGTTCTGTTCTGGGCCGGCATGGTTTGTATTCACTGAAGAATTACTTTTGACACTCTATAATGCAAGGATATTGGATATGACAGATTTTATTTAAAATTCCCATTAGCCATGTATAAAAGCAGTAATTGTGGAAGAAATTGTTATAAAAATGTAATATTATTAATAATTCAGAAGATTTTGGTATTCTGAAGAACTTTGCTGAAAAAAATTCTTTTGTGAATCGGGAAGTGGAGATAATTATTTAAAAACAGTTATAGAATTTTCAATAATATTCAATTACCGTATGTTCTGCTGGAAGAAGACCAGAAGAGCTTATGCAATGAGAAGTATTTCTCAACAATCTGTCTGCATGCTTGGGGTTTTATTAAAAAATCAAAGAAGATGGGCGAACATAGCAAGCAAAATGCCTATGGGACGACAAATAAGAAGTGAAAAAATTGAATCTCAATCATTACAAAATTTTCTGAGATACCGTATAACGGGTATTTTCTGCGGTTGTCCAATTTCTGCGGAATTTTGCAGATAGGAAAAATCCACAAAAATTACAATCGCAAAATATTTTTCAATACTTATTCAGATATTTTATACATGCAATTTTGATAAGCGGCGTGTATGTCTGTCACAGGGTTCTTATTAACACAAGAACCTGCGTACTGGACGCAACAAAATTATTTGGGACGCAAGGTTCTTAAAAACGATTCGTCCGCAGACTCATGAGTGGACATGTCCTCGTTAGCGAGAAAATTCGGGTGTCATCGAAATTCGAAGATTTTAGATGTAAGGATTTGTACAAAACATATTTAATCAAAACATTGAATTTCCTGTAAATAATTAAACAACTTTATGCAAAAAACCCCCATCTTTTCTTGTACCTATTTCTTTATTGAAGCACTGATATACTTGTAAATGATTAAAGAGATTTCGTAATTATTTAAGTCCAAACTCCGAAAGCTGCAAACAACACATAGATACTGTAGCTTTTCTTTTTTAAACACCTTTTTCAATCTTGTGTTTTACATTGAGACAATAATTACTGCTTGTATACACAATGTGGCTTGTTTGTCTCGTGAATTTTACCCAATGCAGACGACTGACAGGATTAGTTACGCCTCAATGCACCCGCACCTGTTCTTGTCTACAGTCAACTTTAGGGTACTTGATTATGCAACAGTTACTGTTTGTTTTAGCTAAAAATATAAAGTAACACCAATTTAATTTTGATCGCAATTAACTATAAGTGTAATTTAGAATATGGCTTGGATGCATTCATCTTCATTATCTACACATTTAAATATTTTAATAGATCGCATAAAATGTCTGTTAGAACAAAGGTTTTTATTGTTGTTGGGTGGTCTCATACTGCATTAATTCATTTCACTTGGGACTCAACATATTTGTAAAAAGACTAACCAAAAGATAGTTATTTAATTAAGCTTAATAGCTTAATACCAGTTCTCATGCACCTTTGATCAATATGTCTTAAAGTTAATGAATTTATAAAACGTAAACATGGCAGCATTCTGATAATTCAAAAAGTTTAGTGATCATACCCTGTAAATAATTTTTTGCGGTATAATGCATTGAAAACGCAGAAATAAATTTGCTATCTTTTAGGGGTTAAATCGCAAAAATTTCCAACCGCAGAAAATACCCGTTATACGGTATTTCATTTTAAATTAACATATTTTTCATGTAAAATCTCTAGAATTTGAAATAATCTCAAAGATTGGAATTATTTGTCTATGAAATAGCATATAGAGCGCTCTACACACTAAAGAGGGCAAAACTGATCATTTCTTCATACTATAACACAATTTTGCCGTATGAGCTTTGCTCCATTTCTTTTTTTTTGGAAAGTTTGTCCTCAAATTATGCCCCCAAAAAAGTATTTTTCGGTTAACAAAATCGTGCAAAAATTATTAATTACATAATATTTACGAAAAATTTTTGTTAAAGATCTGTGTGCATATATTAAGATACAAAGCTCTATGATTATATGGCTATATTCAAATTGCTGATCCTTTCTTTCTAAGGAAAGGAGAAAAAGTTCTCACTCTTCATGGGAAAATAGAAATTTTGAAAAAAATATTAGCTTTTTTTCTATCGGGCCATACAAATCTCAGACCAATAGAACTACATACTTGTTTTGAGGAATTTTGATTATTCTGATATTCATGTATGATTGCGAAACAAAATATGTTTTGTTTCAAAGTGTTTTGTGTACAATTGTTACGTGAACTAAAATGTTACCTGATGTTATCTGGTTTTGTAATGTATACTCAAGTAATTAGTGTTCTTTGTATAAATTTATGATTTGTAATCTTGCTATATATTACATCATATACATGTACATGTATCATCTTGTAAATATTTCTGAAAGAACCAATGTTTCAGGTATTTTCAGAATTTGATTGTTTTAAAACACTGTTCTGATTCCTATGCCCTTGTTCATTGGCAGATTTACATAGCTGCCTTCTCCATTACACACGGAGATGCCTGGAGACTGGTCTATGGCTACGACAGCTTTGGTAACACTTGTGATGAGGACAATACTGGAAAGAAGATCGAAAATGTGACCTTCTCAGGCATGAACATGGAAGGCAAAGGGTAAGTCAAAGGTCATTGCCATGACTACAAATACTTTGATTCTTTAAATGATGTTCTTTAGAGAATCTTATGTATTGTTTAATGTTTTATTTGATGCATGGGATATGACAGCTTTTTTCTGGTATACCACCTGAAAATTCCTGATTGAAAGGTTATGTGTTTCCTTTCATCATGAAAGGGACAAGAGAACAAATTATACAAGAATTACTATTTGCTTCAATTAACATCATTTCCATACAGCCCAGAAATGACACAATTATTCTTTTCTTTTTGCTTCTTCTTTCCATACATGTCTAGAATTCCTAAAAATCTTACCTACTAAATCAGGGTTCAACATTATAATTAAAATATGCACTTGTCCATTGGACGAGTTGAGAATAAATGTTACTAGTCAGAATTTGATGTTTACTTGTCCCACCCTGAAATGATTTTAAAAAAAAAATGTAGAACTATTTTCAAGAATGAAGTATTATTGTTAATTTGATAAAGATTATTTCTGATTAAAAATACACTGTCTGTAATATAATCTCGATCACACTCGTTTGTTAACAATGTGAGGCGATGATTGACTGAGCCCTTAAAATTGTTATGTATTAATTAATGGTGTGAGAAATGAATTCTGGAGATTTTTTTCAATCATATTTACAGTATTCCATGGTGGTACAGTAAGTAACTTGTTCGATCAGACAAGTGTGTCTTGAGATTGACTTCTCAGATAGCAAAATGAACTGGGCACATACAATCGGACAAACGTTATTGCTGAGCCTTGTACATCACATCATATCATAATTATTCATGCCATGGAATAATTCACACATCAGTCTCATTTTCATCTAAATACTGTAAACCAACTTTTATTCGCGTGTGATAAATTCTGCTAGTTTCGCGACCTTCTTTAACTTGCGAATATTTATCGCAGTGAACCATTAATTTTGCTTTGCATTTGTAGAGAAGGTTACCTATGTCGCGAAAATTAATCGTCGCAGATGGATTTCAAACTACCGAATCGCGAATAAAAGATGACGCGAATACCGGTAATAGTTGGTTTACAGTAATACAGTCACTAAATACTGGATCACATAATGACAAAAACATGACAGGGATACTTGTATACATAAGGCATTGAAATTTTACTCATAGGTATGTGTTCATGTTGGACATCTTTGACCCCTTGAACTCCATGAAGCTATGTGTGAACAAGTGCCCAGGTCAAGACTTGAACACCACAGGTGATCTAAAAACATTTGCCATTACTGGAGGGTCATACCTCTGTAGGTACGATGTCGAAGAAAATGATTATGATGATGCAGTAAAGAAAGGTCTCTGTCCAGGAAAGGTGTTTGCCAGGTATGTTTAAATGGTTTATTGGGGAGGTAAAAGGAGAAATCCATGTTTATCTGTGTAAGTGTGAAGGTATTTATCTTAAGTGTTCTCTTTCTTTACTGTTTTTATCATGTTTGATGAATGAAAACATATTTTTTATAGTTCTGTACCAGAAAAATGTATATGAAGAAATAGTTGCTGAAAATCAAGGAAATCTGTACTGACATGCAAAAGAAATGCAACAAGCACTTCACTGGAAATATTTGAATACATGTATTTGTTACTAATGATATTTGCAGTTTAACACAGATTTTAACAGTAAGATATAACTTGATTAAACACACTGGACATTTAATTGTGAAGCTGAACATCATCGTGAACATCAGATAGTAACAAGTAATTGTACCCCCACCCATCCACCCCCTAATTCAATAGCCAGTCTGACATGTACATCAGTTGCAGCTTGGATTCAAAAATTCATCATTCTTCTGTTTTCAGTGGAAAAAAATTTCTGCCAGTCTTCTTGAACTCTTAGTTTCTCTGATGCTGCACGACGTTAAATTCCTCAGTCCTGGTCCAGTTTAAACTGTTAGTTTCTATGATGCTGATGTCATATCCCTCAGTCCTGGCCCAGCTTAATAACCTTGGTTGTCCTGTCTACAGACTATCATCAGTCAAGACAGTGGGACTTATGTACTGTAAAAGTATGGTGTAGGGTGTCTTGTGCCAGCAACACTCTTGCAAATTCATTTTGAAAATTTCCCACTAGAAGCACTTGCAATATGCACTTGCAGTCAATTTCAGGATGCATTTGCATCAGTTAAGGAAAAGAAACAATAACAATTTTTTTTTCAGAATAATGCTGCTAATCTTATGGTGAATAAAAACAAGTTCTTCTATGTCCAAATCATAGCCAAATTTGCTGTAATACTTGCAATTTAAGGTTTCCATTTAATCAAAGTAAGACTTAATTCAGTTTGGATGAAAATCTACTAACCGTTAAATACTCAACTACACAAAGTTGTCCTAACCATTACAGTCCAAAATTATGTACAATGTCTTATTTTTTTTTTCTTTCTGAAATTAGGATGTTGCATTTCTTTTGCATGTTAGTATATAAATTCATGTACAGAAACATCTTTATATGCAAATACCTTTTGAATTGTTTATTGTTAACAATGTTAACAAAGTTTATTGCAATGTTAAATGTTAACAAAGTTTATTGCAATGTCCATTTTGAGTCATCATTGTTGAATCTACACTATTAGATTTGTCTTAACATTTCAAAACTGGCAATGGTGGAGTTTTTCCAGTTTCTTTATTCTGTATTTCCTCCATGTTACAGGTTTTAGTAAACTATCATATTTTCAAATAACAGCAGTCTTTAATCTGAACATTAGCATATTTTAATATTCCAGTAAGTTCACTTATACAAGAATTGAGATTATATGTTAATTCATCACATCAAATTGGGTTTTGCATTGCAGTGAATCATTACTCAACTATTGTGTTCCTTCATCACTGAAGCGACTGGGGTTCAACTCGCTCAACAAGCTCATGGTTTTCTTTAACGAGTTTGATAGTTTTCATAGAGTTTTATCTGATGTCATAAAGTCATGGCGAGAGATGATTATCCTTTGTTTCGTAGCACTAGGTACTTTACTGTGTGTTTAACATGGTTTCATGTAGACAATACATTGGTGGATCTAGAGATTTCAGAGGGGTGAAGGAGGGTATTATATTTCTTTTCTAAGATCTTTTTTCTAGATCTGCCAATGACTTGGAAGGAGTGTTATTGATTCAGATTTAAGTTCGGCATTCAGTAGAGCATTTTATGTTTAATGTATCATTTTGTAAAAGCTTTATGTTTAAAAAGACATTAATTATGCTCAGGCTGATACACTAATGACACAGTTTTATTTTTGTGGCCTTACTTGTAATGAATTGATAACGCACCTTTCACTAACTTGTTTCTGTTTATGAATTTTCTGTTACATTTGTTGCTGACTTGAATGATGTAAATTTTTCAGTGAACCAATTCTGAATAGGTGTGTGCCAAAGCAGATCTTTAGCACTGCGGGTGACATTTTTGCCAAATTCTTTGAATTCGTAAATTCAAGTGACATATTCCACAAAGTTTTGCACGATTTAATGACGGGCTGGCGTGAAATGCTCATCCTGTGTTTTGTTGCGCTAGGTAAATGACAGCCATTTTTAGTCATTTTGGGACATGCATATATCTACACAGTGATGATATATATTTCTGATCGTTATATTTGACTAATATGGGAATACAGTATATTCACTTGTAACATAGTTATGTCCCTTTGCTCATGTGGTGAATGGTATTCATGCATCTCTAAATGACATATTTTACATGTCCTTGTATTAAATGTGAGGTAGAAAGCTCTTCTTTTAACTAGCTGCAATGAAATAAGTCAAATAATGTAGCTATTTGTGTATGATAAATAGATTTAAGAGGGAAAATATGCAAGTTGGCTTTTGGGAATATTAAAGATTAAAAAAAAAAAAAATTGCAAAAGTCCTTAAAAAATGCACAAAAACATTAAAGCACATAAGATAAAAAAGGCTAGAAGCTGGATTTAGGAATGAAGAACCTTCACTGGATTTTAATAATACCAATGGTATTACAACTAGTGCATTGATTCAGCACAAAAATGAATATAAGATAGTATCTGTGATTGGAGAAAATTATCCAATTATGTTTTGTTTGCATGCTAAATGCAGCTAGATTGAATAGTGGATTGCATGACTAAATTTGTACACTGTTGACATGGCAATCATAATTAACACTAATATTTGTGTGCATTCTCAGACAGGATTTTACAAATGATGGATTGACCTGAGAGCAGAAATTAGCTGCATGTTATACATCTTTGTTCAGCACTTGTATAATCAATCCTCAACATTATCAACTGTTTAATAGCATGACAATATTCCCTTATTTCACTTCACTGCTACATGTACCAGAATGTCTAAAACTCATGCTGATTTAAACCAATTACTCTCAATAATTTAGTGTATTTGACAAATGTTAATGAGGCATTAAGATAAAGAAAAAAAATCAATATGCACAGAAAGTGGGATTTTTATCAGAAGAAGTAACAGTGAAATTCAATGTCAGATTCGATTAATTTTGTTTTTAACCATGGAATAAATGAAGCATGCACAAAGCAGAATGATGAAAATTTCAGTTTCTGTGCGATTTTAGAGAATTTTTCTTAAGCAAGTGGCTAAAGTTTAAGAAATAAAAAGATTTAATTTCTACTGATAGTTCTGTATAATATAAATATTCAGTTGTTCATATAAGAAGACTTTTATTTCATGTTAAGCCTGCTATTGCAGGGTTTGGGGCATTGATGGTTCTCCTCATAAGATTCCTCGCTTCTGTCATCGTCTGGTTCATCATCACCATCGCCATACTGGGAAGTATTGGTAAGTTTACAAAATCCTGGGAATTACTGTAAACATATTACATTTGGCTGTGTATTCTTTTTAGCACCTTTGGTGGAAAGCAACTTCCGCTTATTTAAGTACATTGCTAAATGTCTTGCACATATACACATGAATAAGATCACTAAGAAATGCACTAAATCAAATCTATGCTAACTTGTTCAAAAATCAATTTCCGCCAAATATTGTACATGCTAAATATAATACATTTACAGTATTGGTAAGTTTACAAAATCTTATACTGGGAAATATTGGTAATTATACGAAATCCTTTACTGGGAAATATTGGTTAGTTTACAAAATCCTATACTGAGAAGTATTGGTAAGTTAACACATCTTATACATGTATTGGGAAATATTGGTAAATTTACAAAATCCTATACTGGGAAGAATAATGGATAGTTTACAAAATCTTATTCTAGGAATTATTATGAGTTAGTTTACAAAATTCTATACTGGGTAGTATTGGTAAGTTTACTAAATACTTAGTAAGTATTGGTAAGATTACTATAATTATTATACCCAGAAAGTTTTGGTAAGATTACTAAATCCTATATTGGGAAGTATTGGTAAGTTAACAAAATTCTATATTGGGAAGCATTGGTGAGTTTACAAAATTCTAATAAATATCCAGGAAGTATTCACTATTGGCACCATAAGTTTACTGAATCCTTACTGGGAAGTATTGGTAAGTGCAATACTATACACTCTGCATATTTCAAGCCCTCACAGTATATATTCAGTTGATCTGCAGAATCTTTTGGAAGTTCCAACCACTTATTCTTTTAACTATTTTACTCCTGATATCTAGAATCCTTGGATATGTCAAAGTTTTTTCTTGATCCTATCTAGTTTGAGATAACGAGGTTTGACTGTATACAGCCATGTATTATGTTCTGTGGACAGTTTTATGTCTAATATGCTAGAATCTTGCTAGTCTTTTGATGCATGGTATGTTTTGTAGCTGGGACAGCAGGTTTATGGTGGACTTACATGGACAAGAAAAGATTCATAGACGACAAGGAAGAGGATAACATTCCACTGTTGAATATAGACATTGACAGTGAACAGGCTTTCTTAATCTACTCCATCATCGCCACCGTGCTAACAGTATGTTCATGAATAAATTGCAGAAACTGCTAGAATATGTCAGTGTGCACTTATCTTAGATAGTCAAACTGTTTGCAGTGCATGTAATACTATATATGTTATTTATACAACTTGTACTAGTCAATTTGCTGTTAACACATACTGAGATTAAATGAAAATCTTACATTAATGTTACAGTAAAGCACACTTATAGCAAAGTGCCAGGGATGAAAAATTTTGCTTTGTTATTAACATAATATCCGTTGTATTCATAATGTTTAAAACTACAGGGACTGAAAATCACATCACTGTAAGCGTGAATTCTTTATAAGCATGTTCACTGTAACCATGTTTTACTGTACTTTACTTATGTGTTTAGAATAGCTAGAGAACAAATCTTCCAAAGTGCTGTTGAGATTTTTCAATGCCTTAAATTCAGCATAATTTGATTATTACTTTCATACAGCATTATAACCATATACATATTTGATTAACTATGACAGGTGATTCTGTTGTTGGTGATTCTGGTGATGAGGAAGAGGATAGGTCTGACTGTGACCCTGTTCCATGAGGCGGGGAAATGTCTGGCAGATGTCCCCATCCTCCTCCTTCAGCCTCTCTGGACCTTCATCATTCTTGTCTTCTTCTTTGTCTACTGGATCATCATCCTAGCATTCCTCGCCACAGCAGGTATAACTTCTGTTCATGTTGTAAGTGTAAAGTGTATAAAATAAAATTCATACTGCAGACCAGCTTGAAGTACTTAACATTTTCACTTATAATTTTCTGTTGTTCGTGTTTACTTAATGCAAGAGCAAAATGTACAAAGTAAAATTTAGATTGTGAACAGGTGGAAGTACTTACCGTTTTCACTATTAATTTTTTGTTGTTAATGTTTTCTGAATGTAAGTGTAAAATGTTCAAAATAAAATCTTAATTGCAGACCAGGTTGAAGTATTTAACATCTTCACTCATAATTTTCTGTTGTGCTACATGTACTTTGGAATGCAGCAAGTCAATAATAGGTTAGATGTTAAAGTAACTAAAACAGAACTCTAATGAAAGATGTGCTTTGTATATATATATACAGAGATAGCCTCAGTAGATAAGTCAACAGGTTTTGTGAAGTACACGGAGCATGAGAACGTCTCGTATCTCTGGTGGTACCATCTGATTGGTCTAATCTGGACCAGTGAGTTCATCATTGCCTGTCAACAGCTGGTCGTGTCAGGAGCCGTCGCCACATGGTACTTCACAAGGCAGGTTATCAGTTATTAATGTGTGAACAACTATTTGAATTACATTCTTGTTTTAGCTAGAGAGAATTTAGAGATTCTGGTTTTGGTGACTGTGTTCTAACAATTTGCATTCATGTCAAATGCTTATCACTGTTTACATGATTATTGAAAAAAATCACCCAAAATAATGGGAAATCAAGTGGTACAGGTATTGTATTAACTGTACTTTGCTTATCATTCATTGTCAAAATCTTTATAATTTCAGAGACAAAAAGACATTGTCTTGTACCATATGCAAATCCACCCAGCTTCTTATTTTCCACCATCTTGGATCTGTAGCCTTTGGAGCTTTCATCATCACCTTAGTCAAGCTTCCTAGATGGATACTTATGTACATGCAGAAAAAGTAAGCAACCTGGCATTTCAATACAAATCATTCCTTAGAATTTCAAAGCATTTTATAGAGGATGTTAAGTTGCTTTATTACAAAAGTGTGTGAACTTTTCCAGAATGAAGGGATCGGAGAACACTTGTGCCAAGTACACAATGAAGTGTTGTATCTGTTGTTTGTGGTGTCTGGAAAAGTGCTTAAAATATCTCAACCAGAATGCCTACACTGTAATTGGTAAGTGACTAGATTCTGAAGTGTTTTATTGACTTGTCTTATACATTATATACCATACAAATAAGTAATCTGTGCTTTTTTCTCTTTGTTTTTAGCAATACAAGGTTCAAATTTCTGCTCCTCTGCAAAAAAGGTAAGCAGTGAAATTTACAGTCATTTATTAAAAATATAATTAATCCTTAAGCCTAAAAAGGATATTTTTAAGGTAATATATCAATGAATATCTATATACAAGACTCTCTATGTAAATTATATCTATTTTACATCATTTTAAGTTGATTTTTGACATTTCAGGCCTTCATGACCTTAGTTGGCAATGCTTTACGTGTGGCTGCCATTAACAGTGTGGGAGACTTTGTGTTGTTTCTGGGTAAAATTGGTGTCACAGCTGCCACTGGTGCAGTTGGTATCTTCTGGTTCAAGGTCAGACTCGTACTACATGTAGTTCAATTTTCAATTATTAAAAAAAGAAATATTCATCCTGGTTTTATCCAGTGATTTTCAGACAAATATTCAAAGCATGTTTCTGACATTTCAACTTGGAGAAATTACCGGTATACTTTGTCATATAAAGTTACTGAGGGAAAAAAATCTTGATCAGAATTTCACACGAGAAAAGTGAAGTATTTTTTTCTGTTATGCTTTGGTGTGAAACTTTGGTCTTGGAGAATATACTGACTGACCTAAATTTCTGGTTTACAGACAAAGGAAGAGTTGAACTATTATGCCATACCTGTCCTGCTTGTGTGTATTTTTGCCTACTTCATTGCTCATTGTTTCCTTTCTACATATGAGGTAAGATATATTATTTTTATTTAAGTAATTCACTTTAAAGTATATACATGTGATGATATGATTTTTATGACGGCTGACTTTGTTGGTATTTTGTAGATGGTGATTGATGCTCTCCTGCTGTGTTTCTGTCATGATACTGACATAAATGATGGCTCCCCAGAGAGACGGTACTATGCCAGCGTGTCCCTGCAGGTAAGAATTATTCATAGTTAATAGCAGAACATTTACTGGATAGCTTGATGGGGTAAAAGGATATGAATACGTCATAGGAATATGCAGTTCAAATTCGAATTTGGTCATGGTCCGATGATTTTTGACAGTTATCCCTCTTGAACCTAGAAAAAAAATTACAGTTTCCACTCTCTAAATTTTGTAGGGATGTATGTGTAAGGTTGAAATTGCATATGAAGGTATTTTACTTAAAAATACAGGTCAAGTTCGAATTTGGTCATGGTCCGATGATTTTTAACAGAGATATCCCTCTTGAACTTAGAAAAAAATTAAAAAATTTCAGTTTTCGCTCTTTTGTAGGGATGTATGTATGAGGTTGAAATTGCATATGCAGGTATTTTACTTGAAAATACAGGTCAAGTTTGAATTTGGTCGTGGTCTGATGATTTTTGACAGTTATCCCCCTTGAACTTGGAAAAGAATTTCTAATCACTATCTCGGCTACAAATGTGCAGTTTACAATTGGCAATTTGAAATTTTGGTTGCCTCCGAGGGCATTCGTGGCGTTACGACACATTTAGTAATTAAATATAATTTATGCAAAGAACATTGCTAATCTATACAGAATGTCTAACAATTTAACACACACCCACCCTCCTGCCCCTCTGCAAAACAGAACATCCTCCCTCTTTAAAATCTCTTGTTAATCTGAAAAATCCACTGAATTGATATCATATACAAAGCATTTTATTTCAATTCCATTATTCCATTTAGTAGCTTTCCATGCTAAATGTCTGACTTTTCCCCAAAAATTTTATTTTGTCTTAAAATATTTCTGTTCTCTGGTATTATTTAAAGTCAAAATAGTTGGCAAAGCTGTTTTGAAAGAACTTTCGGTTTATTTTTGGCCATTATAGACTGGAAATCAGAGAAATTTCTGCCAACAAGAATTAATGTATGTAGGTATCATATTTATGTAGTTGATGACCTGTAAATTTCAAAGTATGTTTATTTCATTGTAGAAATACATAGAGGATGGTAGTAACCAAATGAATGCCATCTCAAAAGGGGAGGATACAAGTGGAGAACCAGAAGCGGCACGGCTATAAATAGCACTGACCTAGAAGGAATCGAGAGGAATCAAACAGTATCATTGTTCAGTGAGGCTTACAGGATATTAGAAAAAGGACAGGTGTTCAATATTCAGATGATTGAAGGGTCAAGTGGATTTAAGTCAGCAGTGCTTGGGAGTAAGGCACAGACATTGTGTTTTGTGACAGAGTTATACCGATTGAGAGAAGGAAAAAATTATATCTGTCCTGAAAGCTGTGTACTGTGGAATCATTTAAATTCTTGGGGGTCAATGTTTGTGGGCAAGCAAAATTTTATTGGTTCGTGGGGATGAAATTTCATGGGCAGCTTGTTTATTTAGATTTAATTAATTAGTACGTTGACAAAATAATTGTTCGTGGGGATGTAAATTCGTGGGTAAGGGTCACCCACGAAATCCACGAACATTGATCCCCCACGAACAATGATGATTCCACAGTAATTGTGTTATACTGTTTCATAAGAATAAGGGAAGTAAAGTAGATATTAATTTAGATGCCTTTAAATATCAGAATTCTGAAAATTTTACATGTCTGAAGATTCCTTCACACAATGTAAAATCTAGTTCTGTGCTAAGTAACAAAATAATTACATGGTGCCTTGAAACAGGATATCTGGAAACCATAGCTGTAAGGACTCTGAATTTATAGCCTAGAAATTGTACACTTTATAGATGTACATGTATCTATTAGTAAGTGTAAGGTTGTTGATTTTTGTCATTTGATGATGAATGTGTTGGTGCATTAAATGAAGTAAATATGTATTTTTATTTTTCAAAGTTTTGTGAAGTAGAGACTTCTGTATTTTTTTTTTATTTTCATATGATAGCTATACATGTATATCTCGACAATGCCATTCATGAAATATTTTTTAAAAATAAAATTATGAGTTAATGATTTTTTGCTATGTTCATATTTTATTTCATATGTACAAACATATTGTATTTTATGTGTTGAAAACTTTTATACATATACATATATATATATTTTCATTATAAAAGGTAGGAAAATACCTCATTTTTTATGATTTTTTTTTCTCATTGAAATATGGAATGTATATATTTTAAAGAACATCCTTAAATAATGAATTAAACACAGGTGTTTAAATTACTTGAATCTCTCTTGTACATGAACAAAGTATGTGAGCTAGCTAACTTCTGCACATTTTAATCTTTAAAGTGATTAAGTAAAATGTTAATCAAAAGAACTGTGAATGACATCTTCAATCTTTTATGTATTTTATTAAATGAAAATTAGAGTCCACTTCAATTCTTATTTTTGGTACAACCTTTAGAGATTTGGATATAGATCCAAATATGGACTGCAAAACATCCAAACATCATTTATATTAAAAAGGAATCACTCTTTTCCCTTTTAATGATTTGGTAAATCCTATGTAGTAAGACTTTTGTTTTACACTTTGGTTGTATTAAATAACATGAACATTGCTTGTTTAATTTTTTTCTGTGTCTGTGGCACAATGTATTGACCACCTAACTGATTAAGTCACTCAGAAAAGTTTATATTCATATTCAGCTACTGGTGCTTTTAATTTAGTATATTTCATTTTCTATAATATATATTTTGTGAAGTAGGCAACTCACACCAGTGTTTTTGTCTTTGCAGACTTTTTTGTGTACATGTATTACATACCTTCACTTTTAAGCCATAATGATGTGCAATGTTAAATATGCTTGTCTATACAGTTATTTGTCATTATTTGTTGCAAAGTTTACAAGTATTGACTGGTAGTTGCACAAGAGTGTGAATTCAATGCCTGTCTTGATGTAAGGGTATGGTCCACTTTGTGATGTACGCTTAATTTTTTCCTTTTGTTGCAGGCAAAATCGAGCATCTGTCCATCATGTTGCTTCATCCAACATATATTTTTGGTAGTTTTTATATAATTAGACAATTAAATCTGTGCAATGCAGTGTGTAGTTTTGATACACTATATAATCTCTACTGTGGGGTATACATGAATGTACTTATAAGTAAAAATACTTTAGGAATGACTCTAATTCTTGGCCAAATTATTCGAGTATAACCTGGTTTGGGTCAGTTTACGCTTTATAATCCGCGAAGCGGATTATAAAACAGTGTAAACTGACCAAAACCAGGTTATACTCAAATAATTTGGCCAAGAATTAGAGTCATTCCTTATAATTTAATTTTAAAATCATTAAATAACTATGGGTGTAAAATTTTGTTGTTTTTTATTAGTTCAAATTTGCCGCTCAATAATACAACCGTAGTAACAGAAGTGATGGGAAGCGAGGGGAGGTAAAAACTGATGCATAGGCCTAGCAGCTTGTTTACATGTGGTAAGATCGAATTATTGTTTGAAGTTAAAGGTACGTTTATTAAATCTGGAATTTTCCATGAATCCCGAGGACTGGAAATGAGAGGATTGTATGGATACAGATGATTCAGCTGGTTGTCGGGGGGGGGGGGGGGGGGGGGGGCCCCATACCAAACCAGGTTATACAGAAATAATTTGTGTTCCTTTTTGGATATAAACCAATCAGAGGCTAGAATACAAACAAAATTAAATTATATGTATTTGACTTCTTATTTGCTTAGAGAAAAACAAGATATATGGTGTATATTATATACAATATATATTGATTATTTTTGAGAGACAATAATTTCATGATTAATGTTTATATGATGTACTTAAATTTAGCACTCCAAAATAAAATGCTTCAAAATACTAATCAGATATATTTTGTTATAGTTACACTAATGGTATCGAGGTTCATTAAGTGGCATGAGTGAGGTCAAATTGATATTTGTGTCCTTTTTAAGATTTTGAAAGAACCACTGTGCTGCTGGTGTTATATGTATGAAAAAGGATCTCCCCATATTTTGTGAATGGATTAAATTTTTTTTCAGTGAGTGTGTTATGTTTTCCATCTCCAAGCCCTCTCACTTTTCCAATAGTTGCATTACACCTTTCACTTCTGTAAAATAATGTTTTGAAATAAAGGCAAATGAATTTATGAAACAGTATCTTATTTCATAGATTAATTAAACCAGGGTAAATAATTATGAATTCTATCCTGATCTGTGTTTACATAACATCACAAGACAATTATGGAAAACATTTGAACACAATGAAGCACAGAGCAACCAAACCGAGTTGATGCATCGTGGTCAACCCAAAAATGGGTCAATATGACCCACTTCTAGAATTTTTACAGAATGTTGAACTTCTTTAGATAGATATCTCCGACATTTTGAGTTTAAGTTGAATACCATGAGGAATAGAATCACTGTACACCTTGTTAGCTGATACACCTTGCAATCTATGCATACTTTGATTTTTGCCAGTTTTGCAGTTTATCAGAAGAGAGGCCCTAGAAATCTCATTTTCATAAGCTTATCAACACCCTCATAGAAATTAAAGATTGACATTGGGAATTATGTATCCTGGTGTAGTTTAAATGCCAAGTAGAGATAAAAGTATTTTAAAGGAATTTCTCAGAAATTTATATTTTCAGTAACCACAGAAACACTCACCAAAATAAAAAAAACAAGCATTATGTAGGTGTAGTTTACTGGTACTTATGTTTTGAAGTCTAGCAAAATTAGTCATCCACATGGCATAGTGGTTAGAGTTGCTGAGTAAGGAGTTGAGCCTGATGTTGCAGGTTCAAATCCAGCCGGTGACCAGTCCTTGGGATGAGGCCATATAATCTGTGTCACAGTCAATGCTGGCACAAAAAACTTCATCACTGCTCATTTGTAAGGCAAACAGAAAGACTGAGAGATGGTGAATGCCTTGCCAATGCACAATCTCTTTGACCAGTTGAGCTAAGAATTGTGTGATGGTACACAGAGAGGAACAGTTTTGCCAACATTGGTGTATGCATGCTATTTTAGGGATCAATATTTTCAAAATTGACAAGATTAGTATATGTAATGCAATGTTTGGATTTTATGATAGGTCTATTTTAATGATATATATATTAACTGAAATATCTAAGAAAGTGTTTTTTAATTAATTTACTTTAATTTTTCACTCTTATATCATGGGCTTTTTTTAATGGCTTATCCTCCCATATTCTTTGCTGTTACATGTAAATACAGTAGCACTGTCTTACTCATAATATGTTAATCTACTCCAAAAACTTGTAAAGTCTTGACAAATCACCAAATGAACTTTCTTAAATACACATGTACTGCACATGTATAAACATATTTTCAGCTCATTTTATAATTTTATTTGCATAAGAACTACTAAAAATAAGGGTCTTCTGAATATTTATTTTTTTTTTAAGTCTACCATTATAACAAACAAATGGTTTACAACATTGCATTAATAAACTCCATCTCAAATACAAAACATAACTAAAGTAAAAATAAAATAATATCTGATACATCATCTGATATAAATGTTCTTCAGTTGGCATGCAAGAATATATGTGTATCTTGAAAAATATTCCATTCTTTCGTGCAAGATTGCAAGTTCATTCAAATATATAATTTATATATGGTATTTATAAAGAAATGTATTTACATTTGCTATGTTTTTCTACTAAGCCAACTGTGCAATTGATTTGAAGTTCATTTTTGTGTGTACTCACGCGTAGAAATATACACGGTGAAACTCGCGGTAGTGACGTCACAATGAGGCTACAGAGACGTTAATAAAAATGTAACGATATAGGGCAGCAAAAAATTCAAATATTGAGCATAATATTGTTGCTTTTGAACTTGTAAAATGTAAATATCAGGAATGTTTTTCATTTTAGTGTGAATTACTGGTGTGTAAATCACACAGACTTGTCACGTAGGCATATTTCATGAAGTGCGCTAGTTCTGCATTGAATTACTGGAGCAACATATTCTGAATACTAAATGTTTTGCAAGATTGCTGATGTTTATCCTTCTATATACAGTAAAACATGGTTATAAACATGATTATAAAGAACTCCTTTTTAAGGACATTTCAGTTATAAGGAACTTTTTTTTCTCAACAAATCCCACAATAAACAGTACACTATGTTTTTTCTTATATGGATATAAAGAACCTCAGTTACATTATTAAAAGGAAGTAAAATCTGAAGTCCCAGTGACTTCCTTCTAACCCATTGTCTGAAACCCACGGTCAGTCTACTTCGCTTACGGGAGGTAAGAGAAGCGAGACCAACTATGGGTTTCAGACAATGTTATAACCGAGTTTTACTGTACATTTACTGTACATGCTTGCATATGTAAATTCAGTACAGGAATACATTTTCTTTAGCAGCAATATAAAAGTCCTGGCACCTGGAACGTTTTTAGCAGTATACGTTACTGACAAGTCTTGTGATGGCCTGCTGTATAGGATTCCTAATTCTAATTGGACTTAGAGTTAGTTACTCTGGACTGGAATGCTTATTTGCTGTGTATATATATAATGTGTCTAATATACGACTGAGGTAAAGATGAAATATAACACAAAATACCAATATATGTACTTTTCTGTCTAGTATAATTGTGAAGATAATATGTGGATTCACGGATTAATACAGAAAAAAATCTTTCATAAACACACAAACAAAATGTCTGCAATTCAGTTTACATAAAATTTCATTTCATAGTTTTCACAACTGTATACATAGTATATAAGCTAATATTTTGTCCTAATACACAACTTTTCTGTCTTGTACAATTTTAAAGCTAATACATGAATTCATAGATTAATACAAAAATAATTCTTTTACAAACGAAAAAGGTTATAATATACAATTTAATTTCATAGTTTTCACAACCTGTACACATGGCTTTAATATAAAAGCTTATATTTTGTCTTAACACACAACCAGAGAAAAAATACTGGAAAATAACTTTGCAGTTAAAATAAATCGTAAAATGTCTGATGTATAGAAAAGTTCTTATAATCAAGGAAAAGAGATAAAAATAAGTATATAAAAAGGAAAAAGGCACAAAAATACTGTGTAATATTATTAATACATGTATGAATGTGAAACGTATTTCAATTTAAAAGCACCTTCTATTGACATTGTAAACAATTTCATAAAGTTCTGTGTTGATATGTAAATGTATATATATTCACTGAAATCCTCATCATATGACTGACACACTCACATTTCAGGATATTCTTTTTCCATTCAAATTTAGCAATGTCTCATTCTATAACTTGGCTGTAGACAGGGACTGTTTTAAAAAGTTCTGATGGGAACTAGTACTCAAAAAGAGTATGTAAAATATATCAAAAGATATACATGTCTGTAATCATTCAAAACTAACAATCTGGAATAATGGTTTTATTGGAAGAAATGTAAAAATAAATGTTCACTGAGCTTGATTAGGATTTTTAGCTTTATTTTACAACTCATTCTTAAACTAGAGTTGTCATGACAACAGATTCATCCTCCTGGTGATCTACCTATAAAAATTAGGAAAAAAATTAAAAAGATATTGGGATAAATGCTTGATATTTTAATTCTCCATTCATTAACTATAATTTCCACATTAGAAATATAATAGTTTTTATAAAGAAACTGATAGGCATGTTGATACTTACTAAAGTTTGGCTGATAGCCTTGAGTTGGCTGTAAATCTCTTGACATGTAGGCCTGGATGAAGGTGTCAATCTCCAACAAGACTCCATTAAACGATATCTGTTAAAGTTTTGAAAGAAATACATTGTATTCAGAACAGAGTAGATATGTAAATATGAATAAGTATCCCAGCTGGCATCTGTTTATGAAATTTACTAAACTTCTGGTTAATTCAGCATATGAAGCTAGTTTGATGGGAAATACTCTGTACCCCTCCTTATTGCACCCAACCTTTATTTCACCTGAAGTCATGTACCAGTATCTCTCACAAGTATATAACAAGAGGCCCATGGGCCACAACGCTCACCTGAGTAACTTTGGCCTTGCTGTTCTTCACCAGGTTTTCCCCTTGTAATACCTATTGTTGCTCCACCCTACCCCGTGGGGTCATGATTTGAACAATTTAGAATCTACACTACCCCATAAAGCTTCCACATAAGTTTTAGAATCTACACTAGCCAAGGATACTTCCACATAAGTTTCAGCTTTTCTGGCCCAGTGGTTCTTGAGAAGAATATTTTTAAAGATTTTCCTACATATGTATTTCAATGTAAAAATTGGATTCCCCATTGTGGCCCCATCCTACCCCCAGGGGTCATGATTTGAACAATTTAGAATCTACACTAACCCAGGATGCTTCCACTTAAGTTTCAGCTTTTCTGGCCCAGTGGTTCTTGAGAAGAAGATTTATAAAAAAAATTCCTCTATTTTTCATTGTAAAAATTGGATTCCCCATTGTGGCCCCACCCTACCCCTGGGGGTCATGATTTGTACAATTAAAAATCTACACTAACCCCAGAATGCTTCAACTTAAGTTTCAGTTTTTCTGGCCCAGTGGTTCTTGAAAAGAAAATTTTTTAAAGATCTTTCCTATATATTTCAATGTAAAAATTAGATTCACCATTGTGACCCCACCCTAGTTCTTATTTAGAATCTACACTATCCCATGATGCTTCCATATAAGTTTCAGCTTTTCTTGAGAAGAAGATTTTTAAAGATTTTTCCTATATATTTCCAATGTCAAAATTGGATTTCCTATTGTGGCCCCACCTTACTCCAGGGGGCGGGGGTGGGGTCGGGTGGGGTGGGGGTGGGGGTGTCATGATTTGATCAATTTAGAAAACACTACCCCAGGATGCTTCCACATAAGTTTCAGCTTTCCTAGCCCAGTGGTTCTTGAGAAGAAGATTTTCAAAGATTTTTCCTATATATTTCAATGCAAAAATTGGATTCCCTGTTGATACCATCAGGGGTCATGATTTGAACAATTTAGAATACATTACCCCGGGATGCTTCTACATAAGTTTCAGCTTTTCCGGCCCAGTGGTTCTTGAGAAGAAGACTTTTAAAGATTTGTCCTATTTATTTCACTGTAAAAATTGGATTCCCCATTGTGGCCCCGCCCCTATCCCCAGGGGGTCATGATTTGAATAATTTAGAATCTACACTAACCCAGGATGCATGCTTCCACATAAATTTCAGCTTTTCTGGCCTAGTGGTTCCTGAGAAGATTTTTTACTGACCCCACCATATGTTTGTCTTTTCTTGATTATCTCCCCTTGTAAGGGGGCTTGGCCCTTCATTTTAACAATTTAAACTCTCCTTTACCCAAGGATACTTTGTACCAACTTTGGTTAAAATTGACCAAGTGGTTCTTGAGAAGATATTGAAAATATGAAAACTTTACAGATGGACAGACAGACAGCTAGACGGAGGGATGACGGACAATGGGGGTTCAGAAAAGCTTACTTGAGCTTTCAGCTCAAGTGAGCTAATAATATTAACATGCCTAACTGCTAACTTTAACAAGAATTATTCAAACATAAAACTTTCTACTTTAGTTACTTACAATTTCCTTATACATGATTTGGGAGGCATGAGGTAAAACTCATTTTCCTCCTCAGGAAAACTATATCCCAGACTTGCAATTTCTAGAAGCAGCACCCCAAATGTCCATCTGAAACAATGAAGTTTATAAACAATACCTTAGGAAGAGGCCATCTCAATCAATCTTGCTACTGTACACATATATACATGTACTCAAATATATTTAATATAATATTCATAACATAAGGCATTGTCCTGAAATTGACCCTTATGTATGTATTTATTTAAGCAATTAAAAGGCTCACATTTCAGTCTCATTTGAATGAATTTTCCTTCTTTTAGATTCCACTGCCAGCCAGGGGTAGTATTTCCTAGGAATCTGTAAAAATAGGAACACTTTTACAGACATTCTTTAACACATTATAATGTAAAAGCACAATGCATTCTATGCACATGAAAGTATATTTATACAATTGCATCAGACACTGAAAATCTACTACATGTATTTAACAAATATAAACCACATTTACCATGCTTAATTTAAAATCTAACAAAATATTGCAAACAGTCAAATCTCGTTATCTCAGACTTGATGGGACTAAGGAAAAACTTCGAGATATCCAAGAATTCGAGATATCATGGGTAATATACTTAAAGAATAAGGGGTTGGGACTTCCAAATCACTTCGACATATCCATGGTATACGAGATATCAGTGTTTGAGATAACAAAGTTCAACTGTACTTTCAAATCAATAAAAATGCACAATCTTTGACCTTTGAAATATAGAAAATGGCTTACTGGTTCTGGTTGAGATTCTAATGTAGAATTAATGGCAAAGTTGAAGTTGGCAAGCTTGGCCCTTCCATGGGAGAAAAGGTAAATGTTCACAGGAATTACAAGTCTGTGAATTATCTGAAGAAAACAGAATTGAACAATCAAATCAAAAAACTGAATTAAGAGGTCAGATCATGAGAAAATCTTTTACGATCATCATAATATCAATATAAGCCTGATTTGTAAGTACATGTACCAGTTTGTCATAAAATCAACAAGCAAATTCAAAGAATTGTGGTCCCCCCCGCTTTCAGTGTCTTAGTTGATGGGATGCCATTATTTATGGCATATTGTAACTGTCTTGTTTGTGTGTCCTGTCTTGTCTGTGCATTTTACAAAAAGGACATAAATTATTGAATTAATAACAGTTATGGCAAAGATTACAGCTTCTCAAAACTACATCAGACTTCAAGGTCATGAGGTCAAATATCATAATACAACCCAAAAAGTCTTATCACAAGTAATGCACATGTGAATTAAAAATATCAAAAAACCAGAGTATACAATTGGAGAGGTCTTGAAACAGGTAATGCACACATCAAATTAAATGCCATATCTTCTCTCAATCAAAAGTTATCAGCAATGTTAAAACTTTTTAAAATAAGGTCAAACTTCAAGGTCATGGGGTTAAAACTCATAGTACATTTGAAAATGCTTGTCACAGGTAATGCACATGTCAAATATAAATGCCTTATCTTTGCTCCTTCTTTTTTTCAGAGATTTTGATTGGCTAAAAATCTGTTTCTAAAATTACATCAGAAAAATATTGTAGTGTTTTAATGGAAAATGAGAGTTAAACAATTTTTATTTATTCAATGCAATATTTAAACAATGGAATTGAATTTTTAAACCCACTCATTTTTAATTTTGCTCTCTGCCCGGGATTAGCACATACCATTTCATGGTTGAATTCAACTTTTCCACTCGGGGAGCAGCGTTTTGACGCTGTTTACGAAGATAAAAGAAAATAAAGACAAGCATGCCATATATGGTTGTGTAGATAAATTATTATAGAAGACATGGGTATAAACAGTTTGCCAGTGCATTTCCTCTGAAAGTGTAAATGAGTGCGATTCTGGGGGAGGGGGTACTCCTTGTAATTCGGAGTTGGATACCTTGCGTTATTATTATACTATGGGTCAAAAAATTATTACTGAAACAAGTGCCTGTAATCAAAAGTTATAAGCAAAGATAATTATTTTGAAAAAGTAGGTCAAACTTCAAGGTCATAGGGTCAAAAACCATAGTATATTTGGAAAGGTCTTGTCACAGGTAATGTACATATGTAATATGAAAGCCGTATCTTTTCTCATTCAAATTTTTTGACCAATTTAAAATGATGTTAAAATTTTTAAAAGGTAGGTCAAACTTCAAGGTCAAGGTCAGGGGGAAAAAAATCATAGTATATTTAAAAGGTCTTGTCACAGGTAATGCACATGTCAAATATAGTATATTTGAAAGGTCTTGTCACAGGTAATGCACATGTCAAATATGAAAGCCCTATCTCTTCTCAATCAAAAGTTAAAAGCAAAGAAATTTTTTGAAAAGTAAGACAAAATTCAAGGTCACAGGGTCAAAAATCATAATATACATGTATGATAAGAAAGCCCTATCTCTTCTTGTTCAAAGTTATGACTGATTTAAAGTAATGTTAAAATTTTTGAAAAGTAGGTCAAACTTCAAGGTCAAGGTCACAGGGTCAAAAATCATAGGATATTTGGAAAGGTCTTGTCACAGGTAATGTACATATTAAATATGAAAGCCCTATCTCTTCTCATTCAAAAGTTATGACCAAGGTTAAAGTTTTTGTGACAGACAAATGAGATTTTATGCCCCCCTGCTTTCGCGAAAGCTGGGGACAATATAATAAGGCCTGATTTATAAGTACATGTACCAGTAATCTTGTAACCTAATCACAGCAGATAAACTTAAATATGAATTGTTACTTTAAACATATAATTAATGATCTAGGGCATTCTACAAACTCCATACCATCTTTTCTTTCAAGAAAATGACTGCTGATAAAACATCTAGAGCATATGACATCAGTTCTGATGCTCTGAGTTTAAACGTGACATCTGGAGGATTGTCTGTGCTGTATCGGAGTTGTTTTAGATGCTGCTTCAAATCACCTTGATCACAGCTCTCAAACACACTATATTCACACTCTGCAACAAACCAGGAGGTTCAAATTTTTATCCAATTCTGACAATACTGTTGATATCTTTACACTTTTGGAAAATTTCATTATTATTCAAACTATATAAAATGCTTTTCAGTGTTCTTACTTTCATCTTCACAATGCCCAAATAAAGTGAAAATGTTTGGATGTTCATCTGCTAAAGATGTCAAGATTTCTAATTCACTGTGAAATTTTCTCATCGGGTTTTTATTCCTCTCTGAAAAAAAACCCCAAAATATAGGGAACAGACAAATGATGAGAAGACAAGAGGCCCATGGGCCACATCGCTCACCTGAGTAACTTTGGCCATGCTGTTCATTACCAGACTTCCCCCTTGTAATACCTATTGTGGCCCCGCCCTACCCCTGGGGGCCATGATTTGAACAATTTAGAATCTACACTACCCCAGCATGCTTCCACATTTGTTTCAGTTTTTTTGGTCCAGTGGTTCTTGAGAAGAAGATTTTTTAAGATTTTTCCTATATGTTTCAATGTAAAACTTTGATTCACTATTGTGGCCCCGCCCTACCCCCGGGGGTCATGATTTTAACAATTTAGAATCTTCACTATCACAGGATGCTTCCACATAAGTTTCAGCTTTTCTGGCCCAGTGGTTCTTGAGAAGAAAATTTTTTAATGACCCCACCCTATTTTTGTCTTTTCTTGATTATCTCTCAATGTAAGGGGACTTGCACTTTATTTTAACAATTTAAACTCCCCTTCACCCAAGGATACTTTGTACCAAGTTTGGTTAAAATTGGCCCAGTGGTTCTTGAGAAGAAGTTGAAAACGTGAAAAGTTTACAGACGGACGGACAGACAGACGGACGAACGGACAATGGGTGATCAGAAAAGCTCACTTGAGCTTTCAGCTCAGGTGAGCTAAAAAGGATGTAACTAGGAACACAGAATTGTACAAAGTTTTTAATATCAATCTGCCTTGTTTACCTTTGTGAAGACATTTAACCAGAACACTGCAACTCCTGTATTTCCCTGTGTTCAGAGAGATGTCTAACGGCATTTGTTGGAATGTTGCTTCTGAGTAAATCTGTAAAGATTCACTGTCCAGTACAAAACTTCTCTGACCACCATCTTGTGATAATCCTCTGTCTGCATTTCTAATGGCAGTGCCAGTATTTTCCATTTGGAATCCATAAGTCTGTGAAAGAAACAAAATACACATTTAGTTAATAATACAGTAGATATATAATGCTAATTGTTACAAAAGAAGTTCAGTAGCACATTTGAATTTGCTTGTGGAATGTAATGCAAATGACAGAGATGAAAATTTGACAAAATAATTATTTTCCACATAAAGACAAAAATAATATCCAAATTTTCATGGTTCAGAAGTTATGATTAAGATTAATTAACATGGAGAAAATTCATTCAAATGAGATAGATATGTATACATAAAAAAATCATGTCTTTAGCTTATGTTTCATGGAGGCATAAAACATTCAGTATTAAATATCAACATTTATTCCAGACTATAATAATGATACTTATGTAAAGCTACTGTTTACACGAATAGCTAATGTACTTCTGAGTGTATCATTAAACAATAAAATTCCTTCTCTGCTTGTTTATATGGGCATTAGTAGGTTATGTAAATTGTTGTTTAATGATTGCACTGTTCATCCCCATATAGCAAACAAAATAAAGACATTTTTATATTTTCATACTTTTATAAATTATTCATATAAAGTGGGTGAAAGTATGCAAAGTATTGTATTATCAATGGATATATTACATTGATGGTAGTTGATTGTATTTACTGTCTAATCGACAGCAATCCCTTTTCATAATAAAGGAGAAAATATTCTATGGCTGTAAATATATAATGATTAACTTAAGTATAATACATCTGCTATATAAAGAAGAGCAGTTGCATGACTAAACATATAGTTAATGACTACAGGTGCAAAACTACAATATATTAGTGTAATATACTGTACTACCACTACAAGGTACTGAAGAACATTGTAAAAAGTACTTATATATACTGAAATAAAAATGTCACAATTTTTTTTTTTTAATTATAAGACTGCAATAATTTTTTTTTCTTATTCTTAATTCAATACAAATATATTACTGTCTAACAAGATTGCATTAAAATTTCCCTCTTATTTTAAATTCAATAAATTTAAAGCTAACTTTGGAATCTCTAGATTAATGTGTATCCCCCTCCATTTGAAGAAAGATCCAGGAATACAGTGGGTCTCAGATGTTATATTGCTTTATACTCCATTATACTATCAGTATGCAAAGTTTTCATCCAATGTTATTTTTCGCCCTTTTACACTTGCAATCAATATTGCTCCTTTTTAAATTTGCCCAAATATGATTGTGTTACAAAGGTTATTCTGTCTTCTTTAAATTCACCCCGTTTACGATGGTGAAAGGTGCAAAAATACGAGGCCCAAGGGCCCTGAATCGTCTTCTGATGAGTTGTAAAACCTTTCACTTCTATTTGAAGCCTCTAAGTATCCTACATATTTAGACAAAAGCCTTGAAATTCCAAAAGTAGGTCATCATGACCTAAATTTTGGTTAAAACTTTCTGAGAACCCAAGATGCATTAACTGACAAAGTTTGATGATTTGAAGCCCCTTATTATCTTAAATATTCACATATAAAGCCATGAAATTCCAAAAGGAGGTCATGATGACCTACTTTTTTGTAAACATACTCCAAGGACCCCAAAATGCATCAACTGACAAAGTTTGATGATTCTAAGTCTCTTATTATTTGAAATATTTAGATATTGCCTTAAAAAATCCAAAAAGGAGGTAACTGTGACTTAATTTTTAGTTGACACATTCTGAGAACATAAAATACATCAACTGACAAAGTTTGATGACTCAAAGCCAATTAGTATCTGAAATATTTAAATACATGTATAGCCATAAAATTCCAAAGGAAGGTCACAGTGACCTATTTTTCAATTGACACACTCAGAGTACCCAAGAAACATCAACTGACAAAGTTTGATGATTCTAAGACAAAAAGTATCTGAATTTTTAAATATAGCCACTAAATTTCAAAAGCAGGTCATGGTGAGCTTTAAATATAGCCATAAACCTTCAAAAGTAGGTAACAGTAACCTACTTTTCAGCTGACATACTCTGAGGACCCAAAATGCATCCACTGACAAAGTTTGATGAACACACTACCTGAAGATGCTTTCATATAAATATGACTGATCCTTGCTTGCTATTCTTGAGAAGATTTTTATAGAATTTTTTTCTATCTATTTCTGTGTAAAGCTTTGATTGCCTATTGTGACCCCAAGCTATCCCCAGGGGTCACAATTTGAATCAACATGAATCTACACTACTTGATGATGCTTCCAAATAATTATGACTCATCATGGCTTTGCTGTTCTTGAGAAGAATATTTTTGACAATTTTTCCTGCATAAAACTTTGATCATTGCGGCTCCACCCTACTGCCTGAGGTCATGATTTGAACAACTTCAATCAAAGTACCCGAGTATGCTTTGATATACAGTCAAACCTCGTTATCTCTAATTTGATGGGACCGAGAAAAAAACTTCAAAATATCCTTGGCTTCCAGATATTGAGGGTAAAATACTTAAAGAATAAGAGGATGGGACTTTCAATTCACTTCGACATATCCAAGGTGTTTGAGATATCGGTGTTCGAGATACTGAAGTCCAACTGTAAATATAACTAATCATGTCTTTGCTGTTCTTGAGAAGAAGACTTTTTAGTGATTTCTCCTATGTATTCCTATGTATAACTTAAATCGCCCATTGTAGTCCCAACATACCTGATTTGAACTTGAATCTATACTTTGTTCAGAAGCTTTCACACAAGTTTCATCTTTTCTGGCCAATTACTTTTTGAGAAGGAGATTTAAGGAATAACCATCTTCTTAATTGTTATTTGTGACCGTTAATGCTGATTTAACAGTCACAAGCTGAGTTTTACTGATGAAGCGTTGCAGACCTTCAAATAACAGTTGAGAAAATAGTTATAATTCCCATTCTTATGCAATTTATTTATTTTTTATGTTTACGTCTTATCTTGTTGTGTTTTGTTACATGAAATACTTCATGAAGGGTTGTGTTTTTGCGTTATTTTATCATAATGATGTAACAATAGAAAGCCTTAATACTTGTTTAACTGCTTTAAGCATCAGTCCATGAGCCATTCAAAATGTGTTTCACAAAAACATTTGCAATAGAATTATACATTCCACCTTTTGCTTATCACCTACCCTTTAGAAAAAATGTTGTCCTTCTTTAGAACAAACTTGAATCCCCTTACACCCTAGAATACTCTGTGCCAAGTTTCGATGAAATTGGCCCAGTGGTTATGGAGAAGAAGATGAAATTGTGAAAAGATAACAACAATGAGGACGACAATGGACAAAATATTGATCAAAAAAGCACCCTGGTGCCTTCAGCTCAGGTAAGATAAAATCAAGCAAATATGTAATGACTCGTAAAATAGAATTACATGTACCTTTTATGTGAATGGGTATGGAAATAACTGCATAACATTTGATACTATCAATAATGAATTTATGTACAGAGAGACAATTAGGGAATTAGTATATTTTTCTTCTTTTATCTTTCATGGAAATGGAAATTGAAACAAAGCTCTAGCATCATCATAGATAAGGTGTGAAACATATTTAACAATTTTAACAACACAACCCCTCTCCCTAAAGAAGGAAGATATATATCTACTTTTACTCCCACAATAACTGTTCGATTTTGAACAAAGGATAATTTGAAGTATTTCTTCTTGCTTTAAGACTGTCATTAATTGTCAGTAGAAACTACTAAAATATAAAGGAATTGTTCTGTCACTTGCTCAGGATTTCATCTAGTTGTATCTTTCTTTCAGAGAACTTTTGAGAACACTAATTATCACTATACTAGAATGATACCGTCAAACACACTTATAGAGAAGTGCCAGGGACAAACAATTTTGATTTGTAATAAATCTTATTATCTGTTAAATTTACATTTTTAAGTCACAGGGAATGAAAATCACTTGGTTGTAAGTGTGAATTCATTATAAATGTGTTAGTTATACTGTATATTGGTGGCTGAAAAAATTATTTTGTTTCCCTTGTCAGTCACTACAAAATTGCACCACAGTTACAAAGCAATAAGCCAATCAGGGATGTATGTAGATTTAAAACAATCTGTTTCTCTATATGATGTTTTGGCCTTCAACCTCAGTGTATATAGAGAAAAAGTTCTTGGTAATTCTCATCACAGGTATTTGTGGACAGCCCCCCCCCCCCCCCCCCCCCCGATATTCAACCCCGGGGCTTGTTGGTCTTTTTTTTCACAAATTATATTTACTGCACTTATTCATCATGTGTACCATAGGAAAAAATTGTGAAAACCCCCAAATAATCGTTCCACACAAAAATACTGTACTATATACATTATAAGAGAGAAAGGTATGCCACTCCGGTTTATTTACGTTGTACCCCCACTGGTCTTTCTGGGTTTAAAAACGGGGGGGGGGGGGGGGGGGGGGTCTGCAAGTACCTGTGATTCTCATACACCACCTGACTCAGATAGATTTATTTCCTTTGTAGCCTTTATAACATATAGTTGAACTTTGAAACCCAAACACTGATATTTCAAATACCATGGATATGTCAAAGTGATTTGGAAGTCCCAACCACTTATTCTTTAAGTATTTTACCCTTGATATCTTGAATACTTGGGTATCTTGAAGTTTTCAAATGGAGTTCAAGATAAAGAGATTTGACTGTAAATGTATGTATTTCTCTATTATTCATAATTTGGCACAAGTATGTTATCTTCAGGATATTAGCAAATCAGGTCTCTGTAATGGCCTGAGAGAGCCAAAAAGAAAATTGAGGAATTGGAAAAAAAAATCAATTAATTGATAATAAATTGAAAATAATTGTTTCTTTTTCGTTATTTAAAAACATATCTAGTTTTCAGTGCTTCATTAGCATGGACGTTAGTACAATTTATCATTAAAATTGATTTCAATTATCAGACAATATCATAGACAAATCAGACATCAGACAACATAGGCAATTGATCTCAATAGGCAGTAGCATGATTTTGCAGTGAACTTAATTTACTGATATATGCAAGTCCAGATGTGAATCATGTGATATACCCTGGTATAGTATTGTGAATTATGTTGGCTCTGTACTAATCAGAATTTGTAATTCTAGCCACAAAGAAAATAAATCCATAAGTCACATTTTCCAAATAAATGCATGATAGATTCACTAGAAGTGCCTGCTCACATTTCTGTCAGTATCCGGTACTTGTCTATTGCGGCATGGACATAGAGGCAGTAATGGGATACCTTCCTATTAAGTAAAAGCTAATATCTATTATTTTTGATCAACTGTTTTGAATTGTATTCTTTTTAAAAACATCTTTAGATTAAATTCATATTAAACTGATGTGCATTGAAGTGGTGAAAGTTTGAATGGAACTTTTGAGCTTTCTTTTGACATGCATATTTTTTCAGAAAGTAGAAAATATTCTCACATGCTTCATTAAATTACCTGTAGAACAGGTATGCTATAAATAGTTTTGAATATAATAGCTAATGAGATTGGCAGTGTACATAAATACCGTCGCCTGCATGGTGCAGTAATTAGAGCATTTGCTCTTAACTTCAATAAACATGATAAATACATACCGTATATACTCACCTATAAGTTGTTTTTTTTTTTAGTTAATCTATAGTCCAAAACTCTTTATCTGACTTATACGCGAGTTATAAAAAGACTGGTTATTTTAGCGTGTCAAACCCTCTAATTTAAACTTAAAAAATACAAAAGACTTCTAGGCAGACCGACTTATAGGCGAGTATATATGGTAATTATTAAATATTAATTGCAATACATAAGTTTTACAGAATCAGAGTCTCTCACTCTCTCTCTTAACTTCATAAAATCCTGCATTACTCGTTGCAGAGAGTGGGGTATCTAAAACATTGGGACAAATATTGCTTTATCATCTCTTAAGAAATGGACATGTCATTACAATGATGCACATTGAAGTAGTAAAATTTTTCATTTGGATGGAACATTTGGGTCTTTCTTATAGAACGTCAATTGTTACTTAATGACGCCCATTTTTTTTAGAAATGAGAAAGTAATACCGGTATTTGTTGCAATGTTTTAGGACACCCCACTCTCTGCCCTACCAACACAAGTTTTGCTGAAATGGGAATTTTATGAAGTTGGGAGAGAAAATTTATACGTAGATACTTCCTACTTTTGTAAAAATAATGTAATGTGATGAAAATGTACATAATCATGTATTTATAATGTTTATTGACGTTATCACAACATGTGTATCAATCAAACATGAGTTTATCGGGTGTTTATGTAGACTGCCAATTTGACTGGCTATTGTATTTATTGAATACCTGTTTTACAGGTATTTGAATGAAGCATATGACATCTCATTTCTTTTCTGGAGGAGTGGGCATTCATTACAGTGCTCTAATTGGCGACTATTTCTCTGTAAGTCGCCAAATTGGTGACATTTTAAATTGACTTGGCAATTGTCAAATTCCGGAACTGAAACATTTTCAGCAACTCTTTTCTGAAGAAATTTAAAAGAGGAGAAAATCATTTTTAGCAATGGTTGTGTTTTCTTTGTCACCTTGTTTGTTATTTTTTTTCAGTCAGTACATTTGCAAGCAAATTTTCTCGTTATGCCAGTGCACACTGAGCTCAGATAGATGGTAGACCAGATAAAGTAATAGCTGCCCAGGGTAATTTTTGTCTCCAGAACATCCACAATTATGAAATGCAATAATTTGGATGGGTGATGTGCTCTTTTGTTTGCCAATTAAATTCTCACTCATTAGAAATATCATCTTCACATTACTGTTAGGCCCTTCTTGTACAGAAAAGCATAAAATGTTAATCATTCTTAAATTAAAGGTTGCGTTTAACTGTCATACATTTCATGATGTTTTTTTTTTCTTTATGATTTTTTAAATGCACTTAAAATTGGTGGAAAGTTAAAGATGGGGGGGGGGGGGGTTGTGTTTAAATAAAGTATAGATGTTTGAATAGCAAAATCAGTCTTTTTACAATCCTACTTTCCTACTTTGAACATTTCCTTCTTACTGTATCTCCTATATATTACCATTCTCAAAAGGGGGTTGGGGGCATGCAGATTTCTGTCACTCAACCTTCAAAAGCGGAGATGGCACTAGACCCCCTCCCATGATTAGCCAGTACCCACCATGGGTCCCTAGATTGACTAATGGACTTTTGCGAGAAGCACTGACATTTACACTTGACGGCTTACTTTGACATTTAAACATGTGCTATGTACGGAGGTAGGGAATTGATATTAGATTAGAAAACCTTACTTGTGGTCATAGGTATGGTGTTAAGGGCACTTACATGATTTACAGGTATCCAATCAACACAAGAGATAATGGGAGGTAGAAAAACATAACTTAAAATACCCTATTCCTAAGGGGTTGTATTTCCTTTCAATCTCATTTTATGAAGGAATCAAACAAGGAAGAAAAAACATTCCGGAATGAAAATGTGGCAGTAGTTGGTCAAATGGGAAGGGAGGGGGTTAGTATAGGGTGTTTCTCCTTCCCCTCCCTAGACAACGAAATATGTGCTTTGAAATGCCCAATTATTAACTATTAACTGTTAAGCTAAATATTTATATCACAAAAGAGCTGCCGTATATTGTCCCAGTGTAAAAGTAAGTCGTCAATTGAAAAAGTCAGCGCTTTTCGCAAAAGTCCAATATCAGGTTTTAAAGTGGCGCCTAAGAAAAATTTGCCTTGCAACTAAAAATTTGCATTGGCAACTAAATTTTTTTGATAAGGGGCCAGCTGGCACCTATTTTGCAGGTCACTTAGAGGCATGCTTTATGCAACAACGAAAACTTTCTATTGAGAGGAAAAATTTTACCACTTCAATGCCCATCATTGTAACAATTTATTTATCATGTATATAATACTCTTCTCAAGAAAATAAACTGAACTATCTTTTTTCCAGATCAGATGAGTACATATAAACAAGAGGCCCAGGGGCCACAATGCTCACCTAAGCACTGTGGCTAGGAAAAAAAGCAAAAAAACAGTATAGTATTGAAAAGTTTAAATGCATAAGTGGTCCCCACCTACCCTTAAAAGGAGGGGGTATGATATGAACAAAATTGAATCTACACTAAGGATGCTTACATATTTTTTTGACTGTGACCTTTTTTTCCTACAAGTTTGAACTTTCATTGTGGCCCCATCCTACCCCTAGGGGATCATGATTTGAACAAACTTTATTCTTCACTATCTGAAGATGCTTCCATATAAATATGACCAATCAATGCTTTGCTGTTCTTAAGAAGAAGATTTTTAAAGATTTTTCCTCTGTACTCCTGTAAAACTTTGATCGTCCATTGTGGCCCCACCCTACCCAGGGGGTCATGATTTGAACAAACTTGATTATTGTTATTACTTTGGGAAAGTACATGCAAATAATATATTCAATTACTTTGATTTGGTCTAATATAATGGAAAAAAAATATTTTAATCCATTTCAAACTGTGTCATTTATATTAGATTTCTGTTTGCATTAGATTTCTATTTATTTCATCTTACATGAAAGGGCAGATCACATAAATCTACCACGGAATTAGAACTCTTCAGTGAGCAATGTTTAGAGCTTTCTTAAACTTTTATATGATACATGTACATACACCTTTAACTACATTCATAACCCACTATTTTGCTTTACCTCTGGAGGATGGTTCTCATCTTCAAGGGAATCATTGCTCTTCTGTGGCTTTGGACAGGCACCACAAAATTGTACATGCTTCCGTCTGACAATGATTGTTACTATGGCTATTGTCAAAATAGTCAACAACATGGCTGCTGTCACACTTCCTGCTATGGCCATCGTATCTGCATCCTTATCTCTGACATTTTCCATACTTCTTAAGGCTATAAAAAGATAAATACTGTTCAGTGTTACTGGTAAATTTCGCAAAAAGTGACAAAAATAAATATAAGTATATATCTGATGAGCATGTTTTTTTTTTTCATCATTTCAAGAACTATTTCAATGAAATGCAAATTTTGTCATTAGGAAAAAAGTACTATAAATATTTTATATGTATAATGTTTTATCCTGTATTGTTCAGGAACTTTTTACCTATTTGACAGGTAGAGCCAGCCCACCCCTCGGCACAGCCCTGGGGACATATCCCACTACTACCATCACAGACTTCATTGTTCTTACATGTCCCACACTTCTGGTCACAGTTAAAACCAAATCTTCCAGGAACACACTCTGTAAGAAAAGAGGAATAAATGCACAAAGTGTATAAATGACGTAAAGCCAAGATAAATAACTAAATAAAAAACATCATTTTTCACATATTTCCAAACATCTACTTTTCCTATATACACGTGTACCTGAATGAAACACATGTATAACTCACTTTCACTGCATTTATCTCCGGACCATCCCGCCAGGCATCCTTTGGTACACTTCCCAGACATCTGCTCACATACATATTCCAGACAATTAGTGCTACACGTCTGTTGACAGTCAAACCCGTATCTCCCAACACTACAGCCCTGGTCACAATAGCCATTCTGGTGAAAGCAGGTGTCTCCTAGGCATTCAGTGCTGCAGGAGGAACCACAGTATTTTCCAAACTTGCCATCAGTACACCCCTCATTGCAAGAACCATCTAAATTGTTACACTTGCCATTTTTACAATTGATAGGACATGTGTTGTTACAAAATTGTCCATAGAATGTTGGCATACAGTTTAAACATATACCAGATACTCTATCACACTGATTATTTTCACAGTCTGAAGGGCAAGTTTTATTGCAGTAATCACCATAGAAACCATCTATGCAACCATAGACACACATTGCTGTAATTTCGTTACATGCTTTTTTGTTGGCTGACTGGTATTTACAATTCTTTGGGCAAGTTTTTTCACAGTAGTCTCCAAATCTGTACTCACTACATGGAAATTTGCAAATTCCACTTTCTCTAAAACACTCCTTAAAAGAACAGTGTTCACTACAAGTAAAATTGCATGTATAACCATAAAAGCCTGCCAGACAACCATCAACACATACACCTGTGTCTTTGTTACAGTGTAAGTAATTACTATAACTATTTCTTTTACAGTTTGGGCTGCAAGGCTTCTCACATAAAGTTCCATACCAGCCAGAAAAACACTCTGAACACTCCCTGGTTTCTATAAATACTTGACATTGTGTACACTCTGGAGGGCATCTTCTGTCACACTGAAGGCCATACCATCCCTCCTTGCACCCGTATGTACAATGTCCAGAATCCTCCTTACATGATCCTCCTCCTGAGCAATAAGGACTGCATTCCCAAGTACAATGACTTCCAAAATAACCAAACTCACACCCATTAAGACATTTGCCATTAGTCCCATTGCAAGCCTGCTGACCTCCTTTACATTTAACACTGCATTCTCTACAGCTTGTCCCATTCCAGTAAGAACCAGCATGGCATTGTTTACAAGTAGGTGGCATTGTCTCCACCTTTGCTGCACACTCCAGACAGTTTTCAATTCGGCATTCCCGATTGCACAGGTTTCCATACCATCCAGGGGAGCACCCATTCAGACACTTCCCTGATGACCTATCACAGGATTCTCCATTTACACAATGACCTTTGCACCTATCACAAAAACTGTTACTCCAAAAATATCCATCAGCACAAGATGAACAATATACAGCATTATTATTATAAACATTCTCCTTGCACTCATTACAGTGACTTAGGGTACATTTTCTGTCACAGTTATTGCCAAAGTACCCAGATTTACAGCCATATTTGCAAGCCCCTGTAGTAGTATTGCATGCTAGACTTCCTCCTACACAGAAATCACTACAGTTAACACAGGAATGAGAACTTATGTTCCAAAACTTTCCCTCTGTACATACTGAACAATAAATATAGTTACTGTAGTAGGAAATATCACAACGAACACAGTTTTCAAAGTCACAGTCTTGCTCCTCACACTTGTCACCTCTCCATCCCAAGTTGCAACCATAGATACAGCGACCAAATTGGTCACATTTGGATTGGTTTATTTTACAGTTTTTGCTGCAGATTTCTGTACAACCTGATCCATATCTACCTGGCTCACACATTGTGCAGCTTTCATGGTGACCATCCCAATCACACTCAATGCACCTGTTTGAAAACAAAGAGAACACACTGTTACAGTGTTTTCCCCAGAAAATTTTTAATGCATGGGGGGAATTCTGCTAAATTGACGGCGCGCGGCATGCTCATCGAGTTACTTGTGCATGTATCTGAATTTATATTTAAATGAAAAATACAAATGCAACATTCGTTTATATAATATATATATTTTAAAATTTAAATGATATATTTTGAATATATTGTCAATTTAACATTTAAAAAAGCTAAACAATTGAGTTCTCTTTTATAAAAATAGATCTAATCGCAAAAAATGTTCTATTTTATTTTCCTCTAAAGCAACTGTCTTTTTATCATGTTTAGGTGTTGTGTTATTCTTGCTTTCTACAAACTGAATAGGCCCCTAGTGACACCCCTTTTTTTATTTAATACATTTTTTTTGATGTCCCTACTTTTACAGTCATTTTTAAACAAAAAGGGTACACATTATTTAGCACCATTGCTTACATGTAAATATTGTGACAACATATTTAGTACATTGGTGTCTGATTTTTTTTTTACTCAACATAAGCTGTTGAATGTGGGTCAAGCATGTGTGCTTGAACAAAGTATTTGCCCATAGTTCATAGAGTAAAAAAACAATGACAATATTTATTGGACATGTTTATTTTTAAACATATTTATGCTAAAAAATGGCTTTAAAATTATGTGTTTTACTAATGAATCATTTTTTAGGTCGGAACATCAATGCTATTTATAGAATGACCTGTGGATGTTGGAAAAACCCGCATGTGCATTAACAAGTGTATTACTTTCACCGTGTGTACTATCTGACAGCAATTAATAAATTTTTCATGCTTATAGATATTTTTTTAATCAAATAAAAGCTTAATACTTAGTAACATATCAGTAAATAGCAATAAACATAAATTGACAACTATTGCATCATACCCCGTACTGTGATTCGCATCGTGTTCACCACAGGTGTGCAACATGTGTACAGTACACGCTATGATTCTAGTAATTTGAATTGTTTTATTGAAAGATTAATAACTGATAACATTCAAAGTATAAACGCTTCTTGAAATAGTCTACCTTTAATAACTCATGAATAGCTGGAAGCAAAGCGGCAATGTGTGATGCATAGCGGGGGATCGTGAATGCATTGCGGTACCGCCATGCAAAAACGGCCTGGGGAAAACATTGTGTTAATATTAAGCAAATCCATTCTGTACTATCAAAAGTAATTGGTTCTTAGTCACTCTTTTCAACATATGTACAGCATACATGTATGCTACTACTACGCTAAAAATGTACCCTGATGAGCAAGTTCTGTCACAGTTTTTCCCGGAAAAGCCTGGCTGACATCCATACAGACATCCTCTGTCCTGCCCACAGTAATCACTCCCATACAAACATTTACTATTATTGCACACTAACTCTGCAAATACAAAAACTCCTTATTAATATTGGGGATATAAATAAATAAAATTACTACACTCATCATTATTATCACAAGTTTAAGTTTGCTCTCTGCGTCTCTGTAACAAAAGCGAATTTCTACTCTTCACTGTTGCATAAAATATGGCCAAAAAGTCTTCACATTGAAGAGAAGTGGACAGGCATAGCCTCTGGATGTCAACTATAAAATGTTTGTCCACTTCTCTTTAGAGAATAATTGGAAGTGAGACAGAAAATGCATATTATAAATTACCTGTATGACATGATTTTAACAAAACAAACAGCAACAAGAAAACAATATATCTGGTTGAACAACACATTATTACTTCCCATCTTGACATTTTCGAGATGCGCACTTCAAGTATGTTGTTAAGTCGTACATAGATATTTTTGTTTAAAGATGTTTGTTTCACAGAACATCGATCTAGACATTTTGGCATGTTATCTTTATGCACCTTTTTAAAATATAAAATACAAATAAACAGAAATTGCATTCATATATTAAACTTATTACAATTACTTTTTCTTAAAATTTTAATTTCGTGTATGAACTATTCTATCACAATTTTAACCCGAACTTACTCAAAATGCAAAGCGAGCTGATAGCCAATACGATTACTTAGTATCTGATTGTGGCCTTGAGCAAGTATTAAAATGAATTCCGGTGATAGAGTGACTATTCATACGGTAATTCCTTTGTTTAAAAATGGAAAAGTGCCTTACACGTCGAGTGTATTATGCAGTGAAACAAAAAGCATCAGATGTGATTGACAAAGATTCTGTGAATGAGTCTGATATCAAATTGCAAAATTTGATCACACCACCGACCCCCAAAGACTTTGCTGAAAATGGAGACTTTGGTGAATCCCAGCCTGATTGCTCTGTACAATTTAGAGAGGACAAAAAGAAGGGAAAGATTTTGAAAATCATAAAATATCCCTTTCAATATTATGACATTATTTTTGCGATGTCTTCAATTATATTGTTTTTTTATGATGTTGTGTCAGATATTTTACTGGCAGCACACTACTATGCCCTTGACAGACGGGTTGCATTTGGTTTTACAACTGGATTTATTGTAATACCAGCTATTATTTCAAATGGACAAAGTGCTCGGTGGTATTTTGTTGATTATGAGCAGGAGCAAAAGAAACTTGCAAAGAAACCCAAAACCAAAGTAACTCCCATGTGGATTTGGGTTCTGAGAATTTTCTTCACTTTTCCATTAATGGTTGGACCAGTTGTAAGGTACTATTTTGTATATACATGTATCTTTTGAAGCTTTGTATGTTGTCTTGCTTTGATGATTAATTATTGAGTGATTTTTTGCTTTATCTTGTTTAATGAGCATTTTTGTTTGCTTTTCACAATTACAATTTATTCATGATTTAAAACTTCATACTGCAGACATTCTGAATTCATATACCATGGCATTATGAGTAAGTCAGGCAGTGATGAGAAAGAAGAGGACAGAAAAAAGAAATGGCATCATTATAAACAAATGCTATATGAGGACACTGATGCTGGCTTGGTTCGCATGTTTGAATGCTTTTTGGAGGCAGCCCCACAACTTGTTCTTCAGCTTTTCATCTTGTTCAGTGAGATAAAAAATAATGGGTTCAATGGGAATAATGATCTTGAAGAGCATGGGCATATGAGTAAGCATTATATTTTGTTAATTCATATCAGACTGTGGCTCAGTTAAATATATGTGTCTTGTTTCTTTACTTTCATATTTTTCATGCTGATAACTTTTACTATTGGTGCATGATCATTTATATATTAACAGACTTTTCATGTAACACTATACCTTTAATTTTCTGCACCACAAAGCACTTACATTTACTTATGCTTTCATTATGTAACAGTTCATTCTACAGTAAACTGGATACAGTTTGACTATTTTTGTAAAGCTCAGAAGCAGTTCAAAATAGCTAATTACAATTTATATACAGTTGAACTTGGGTATCTGAAACACGGATATCTTGAATATCATGGATATGTCAAAGTGATTGGGAAGTCCTACTTGTGTATTATTTTACTCTTGATATCTTGAACCCTCGGATATCTTGAAGTTTTTTCTCTGTCCGACTGAATTCGAGATGTAGTAAGGAAGTAAGGTAAAAAAATTAAAAAGGTCAGAAAGTAGTGGATGTATATGGAATACTGTTTCAAATTAAAAAGTTTATTGGGCCTCAAACAGTCAGATAATAGTTTCTGAGTTTTATGAGAGATACTGTATAAGTGGAAATTTTAGCAAGATGCGAATTTAGCAATTTATCCCAAAAAATTGGTGTATAATTTTAGCAAAAAGCAAATTTAGAAATTTTATAATGTCAAGAAAGAAAGCTATAACAATCAATATGGAATAAATTGTTAATGAAAATTCAATTTAAGCAATTTCAGAACCATCGCTTTTAATGCCAAAATTGAATTATCGTTAAGAAAATTCTACTTACCTAAAACATAATGTTCAAAAGTACTTTGAAAGAGTCAAATGAGCAGGCAATAGATAAATTACAGTAGTTTAATAATGATAATTTTATTTTGCTGCTTTTTATCATAATCAGACTAAGACTCCTATATACAGGTAAAGATTTTGACAAAAACGTGATTCAGGAAAACATTCAAAACTATTTAAACATGCACAATTTTGAAAGGTAGCATGCATGCACTGAAGTATTGCAAATGTACCTCAAGTTTTGTTTTACTTCAATTCATGTACATATGTTGAAAAACTTCCTGATGCAGTTTGTATATTTATTTGACAAGTAGGTGAAGAATGTTAGTAAAGAAATAATATTTATAAACATGAATACATGTGCTAATATTTACATGCAGCAATATTTTTACCTTGTTAACACAGTCATGTGCAGATTTTTATTCATAACAGACAGTGCTACTAGCAACAATAGTAATGTCACTACCTTTACAGGTTGCTGATAATTTCCTAGTATGTAAAAAAAAAAACTTTTATAAAATTACTCTTTTAACAGAAATCATCCGGGTGGTGGCCCTGGTTGGATCTTGGACAGGACTGTCCTTTAGCTTGACCTCCTATCACAAGGCACTGAGAGCCATGCAGCATTCTGAACTCTATGAAAAATATGTCAGCAAGCAAGATCAGTCCAAAGATAATGAGCCTAAGAAACAAAGCCTGTTGTCCACTCTGATGCTGACCCTAGGGTACTTCTCCTGGAGACTGTGTGAGATTGGACCAAGGGTGCTGATCCTAGCCCTGTTTGCTTCTGAGTTTACTTATTTTGTCCTTGTTGCTGCAGCTGCCCATTGGATCGTCATGACTGTATGGTTACTTTGCCAGAAAACTAATTTCTATGGAGAGAAGAAGAGGGATGAAGTTATTTTTAACATCATACTTGGCTATGCTATGATTTTCTGCTTTTTGAATGCTCGAGATGGACACACGAGGTATAGAGCCATTGTGTACTACTTTCTTTTCTATATTGAAAACTTTCTTATGATGGCATTGTGGCTGTACAATGTAGACCAGAAAGAAACCTGGCTTTATTTTTCTGCCATTGGAGCAGTGGCTGGGGGTTTCCTGCTACATTTAAGTCTGCAGCTGATCTATTACAAGACTTGTCACCCCAAGGCATCTGAAATCAAATTCTTCCTTCACCCCACACAGCAGGATAATTGCTACCAGTCTGTCTGCCATACATTGGAAGAGGAGGACCATCAAAGTGATACTAATGCCAATTAATTCATTATTGATCTGATATGAGCCCAGAGCTTAGACATTCAGACAGTCTGCTCTGCATCTCACATCATTACCATTTCTCGCAGGCAAAATACAAACAGTGATGTGTCAAAGTGCTCTGTTTCAAACAACACTGAAACTGCAGCTAACATCAAAAGTAAATGCAGTTTTGTTGTAGTTTTGTATGTTATATAGAGGAGTTATGAACTTAGTGACTAGACATCAGTTCAAACAACAACTTCTAATTATAAACAGCATGAATAAACAACCATATTGTCAAAAGCTTTTTACACAAAATGGTAGCTATACCAATATTTTTTTCTCCATAGTAGAAGATATATTTATAAGTCAGTGTAGTACATATACATGTATTCCTCCTCATTTCTAGTGTGTAATGAGTATAGGGTAAGAGAAGGCAACTTTAAATAACATAGATTTTTTTTAACAACTTGTATCTAACAAAAAAAAATTAATGAGATAAAAATATTAGCAAAAGACTTATTGCATGTTTATTACAAAGCAGTGCCATCCTCATTCATGAAATTAATTTTGTCTTTATATTAAGAAGTGATAATTTTCTCTTAGTTTGATTTTCAGATTGATTCTTGCATATATTGTCTATATGAGAGTAATGTCCTATGTATGCAAATGCCATATCAACAAAGTGCAAAATATAAATGTACATGTAATATTAAACTTGTGGCTTATCTAGTGTAGTTCTCATGCAATGTTTTTACAGGTGTTTGTTAGTGTTTATTCATGTATTTTTCCAAGTACCATGGACCAAGATGTTTACATACTTGATTTTTTTTTTCCATACAACAATCAAATTTCCCATGTGATGATATTTAGGGTGTGATTCGTGATTTTTGTATGCCTTTTCTTACATAACCGGTATCCTATTTATATTTCTTATGAATATTTTTGCATAAACTTTACCAGTTGTTTTGAATTTACTGGTAATTAGAGAGTGCCTGGGTATTGTTTGACCAAGTATTTATCTTTGTTATGCCCTCGTATATGTTTGTTCCTGTTGGTTGCTTGTATTTTGAAGTACACATTAAGAACCCATACTTTAGGTACACTGTGAATGTATAATGTACTCATTGAAACAATTTTGTTTTGTATGCTGTATCAATAGTACATTGTACATGATATTCAGTGATTTAATTTACCTATAGTAGATGGTGGTGCTTTATTATCACTTTGAGAGTTACTGTAAAGAAGACAATGAGAATTGTTAAATATTATAATATAGATATATGCATATTATATAAAGTACTTGTATCAAAGTAGTCTATTATAGTATAGCTTTACTGAAGATTCACTTTGAGAGGATAGGGGAAAAAAATCACAAAGCACATTTATATCTGTACATGTATTTTAAAGGGTTATTTATGGGTTCTTGTATTTTTTTTTTTTTTACATAAAAGCAGTCTAGAGATAAATTGTGATATTGGTTATTGTGGTGGTCTAGAAATTATGAGAAAACATGATAAATTATAAATTTTGATTTTAGTTATGGTGGTGATGGGAAGAGAATTTGATGTTGGACATTTACTCTTTTTCTCATCAGCATAAGTTTAGGGAACACCACAACATGCTTTATATACTATCCTCCAGTTGTCCTTCTTTTCATATTTTAATACCAGTATTCACATTTTATAGTCCCATTACATGTACTTCACTTTACTCTTTTTACAATTAACTTCCTCCTAGTCTCAATGATAGTTCCAAAAACCTAGTCTTCTTTACAATGAAATGGATACATATACATTTTATATAAATTATAGAAACTGTGTATAACTTAAAGGTCATCTGGTAAACCCATTTCAAATTCTCTGATCAGATTTGGTGTATTGTACGTACTGTACTGTTGCTTGTGAATGGTTAGCTTTTCTTATAGTTATTCAATATAAGACTAAGATTCATTTTAAATAAATTTCAATCTGATGTAAAGATTTCATTTGCAATACAAATGTATTCCTTTTTATGCCATTAATTACTGGAGCTTAATGGTTTGCCTAGATCATATTGGTAACTTGTCCTGCTGCTTTGTACAGTTGTTAAGTCAGTGCAGTGGTGCCCATGCACACCTTAGTTGGTTGTTAGTATCTCAGGACTTTGTTATTAATTTTTTGATGCATGTATTTTTTGTGAAAATATCTAAATAAATTAAAGAATTGAATGCATCATTCATTTTCTTGACCTCAGGTACAAGAATAAAGCATAAATGGATATTTGACTAAATTTCGTCTGGAAAACTTCACCCTCTGGAATCAATACCTGTCAAAGACTGCAGTTTTATTGATAAAGATATGTTCAGTGTTGTTCTATAACTTTGTTTTGTTAAAATGTTAACAAAATTTAAAAAGAACTGAGATGATACCTGAGTGGATGAACATGTATTGCATGTCTGAAACAAGATGTGTTCGTGAAACACTGATGCCTTCATATGGCAGCTTATGGCAAAGGTTAAAGTTTCTCAAATGCAAGTCAAACTCCAGGTCAAGAGATCAAAAATGTTGGTACCAAAAGAAAGGTCTTGTCTCGAGGAATGTACCTGTGAAATTTGAAAGCCCTTGCACCAATTGTTCAAAATTTATGGCGAAGGTTATAGTTTTTTAAAAGTAAGTAAAATGTGAAGGTCAAATTGGGCCCCAAGGGAAGGTCTTGTCACAAGTGATACACATGTTCGTGAAATGTGAAAGCCCTTGAACTAAACATTCACATGTTATGGCCAAGGTTAAAGTTTTTCAAAAGTAGGTCAAACTCCAAGGTCAATACCAAAATTGTTGGTATCCAAAGGAAAGTCTTGTCACAAGAAATGCACAAGTGAAGTATGAAAGCCTTAGCACCAAATGTTTAAAAGTAATGACCAAGGTTAAAATTTTTCAAAAGAAGGTCAAACTCCAAGGTCAAAGTTGTTGGCATCCAAAGGAAGGTCTTGTCACAAGGATTACATATGTAGTATGAAAACAATGAACACCAACTATTCAAAAGTTATGGCCAAGGTTAAAGTTTTTCAAAAGTAGGTCAAACACCTAGGTCAAGGTCAAAGTTGTTGGTATAAAAGAAAGGCCTCATCACAAGGAATACACAGTTGAAGTATGAAAGCCCTAGCACTAACGGTTCAAAAGGTATGTCCAAAGTTCAAGTTTTTTCAAAAGTAGGTCAAGGTTAAAGTTGTTGGTATCCAAAGGAAGGACTTGTCACAAGGAATAAACATGTGAAGTTTGAAAGCCCAAGCACCAACTGTTCAAAAGTTATGGCCAAGGTTATAGTCTCATAAAATTTTGCAAAAGTGGGTCAAACTCCAAGGTCAAGGTCAAATATGATGGTACCCTAAGAAAGGTCTTGTCACAAGGAATACACATGTGAAATATGAAAGTCATAGCTCTAACCAATCAAAAGTTATGGGCATGCGCAAGGTTAAAGTTTTTGTGGACAAACAGACAGACAGATGGGGCAAAAACTATATACATGTACCCCCGAATCTTCGATACAGGGGAATAAAAATTTAAAAAGAAGGTACATTTCCAAAAACTGTTTCCACATTTCTAAAGAGGTAATTTGTATAGAAGTTATCATTAATTAGAGCACTTCCAAAATAAAAAGCAAGTTGCAGGGCTCAACGTTAATCAAAATATCCACATCAGACTAGTTGCATACAAATGTTACTTGTGCAAATGCATTTTTAATCGTCAGATTCTGAACAGTTACAAAGAAAATTGTAGAATCAGGACTGCATGATGTTAAGTTATAAGTATTACTGACACATGATGTTTATATACTCATGAAAATAAATATGACTGATTTTTAAATGCAGTAATACTGTTTGTAAATTAATTTCGTCCATTAGGGATATTCCGTGAGATTTGACTGAGCAGTTCAGATCATGTTATGCATTTGATGTTTGTGATTTTAAAAAAAATTATGAAATTTCTATGTGTTTATGTGTGTGTGTTGATATTCACACCCAATCACAAAAGGATTGACTTGTCCAATCACAAAATGAACTGAATAGGGACAATCAGACAAACATTAATGTTGAACCCGGAGTTCTTTGCTTTGAAGAACTGAATTTTAAAATTATGCTGACAATTAAAAGTTTCATTGCTATAGTGAAGTAAGGAAAATGATCCATATTGTTTTCTCCCTTAGTTTGAATTCATGTCAATCAATATTTCCAATAAACGACTATAATAATATTCCAATAATTCTTCTGGGAAAACTCGCAGGGTTGATTGTAGACAATTTTCTTCATTTTTAAACAAGGAAAAACAATTATATTGATTTTCTTATTCTGTACAAAATCGGCAACTTAATTTGCATCAACATATCCAGTGAACCAAAATGTCTCCAATCTGTGTTTCAAACTTCCATCTCTCTTCCTTTAGTACTAAATATTGAAAACTTAATTAAACTGTAAGCTAAAAGAAGAGCCCTGCAGAAATCAAACTATGGAAAAAGAACACATACACACAAAAAATTTGGTTAATTTCCATTTAATTTTTCAATTTACAATAACATAACATGAAGAAACACTCCTTTTTTTAACAATAATTTAATCATTAATGTCATGATAGAGAAGCTGAAGTGCATTCCTGAATTCTGCCAGCTCCTGTTCTAACTTTTCTATTCTCTCCAGACAAGCCATTAATTCCTGCATCTTTTCCTCCATTATTCTGCCCTGTCTCTCATAAACCTTGTGAATGTGGTTCTGCATTTCAAGGAGTGTCGTACAGAGCTGAATGAAAAAGAATGTAATACCTTAAGAAAATATTGTGTGATGTTCAGTTGCAAGAAGTTTTTATTGTTTCTTCAAGATTTCCCTAATATTGGAGGAAAAAAAAATGTTTTAAGCTTGAAAATGGAGTTATATGGAATAAAATTCTATGAAAGCACATTTAATATGCTTTAAAAAAATCTTATTGAAGAAAAAAAAAGTTTTGAAAAATATTATCATTAACATATATACTCTTACTTAAAAAATATTAATTAAATCTTAATTATGTGAATAATGTTTGAACTAATTAAAATTTTGACATCTACATGTGTGAATGATAAAAAACACCTGATATTCTGCCGTCTTTTTGAAGTCTCTTAGCATGTCTGAGTCCCTTTTCCGCTTCTTGTTAGTTGTTTCAATGATGTTATTGGCTGCTTCCTGTATATCTATCCTTGTTAACCCTTTTGTCAGTGGCATTTTGATTGCACTTTCACTACTGAATTCCCCCTTCTCATAATTACCAACACAGAATTCTTTGGCCCCATCATCTGGTTTACTGAAATGATATATAAAAAATGTAAAACAAATTCCAGAGGCAGTATGGCATGATGCTCCTCTTACGAGGGTATAGTCCTTGTATTTTGTTTGATGATAAATTTTGTCTTAACTAGATCTTTATCAACTTAATTTCCACAAAAAATGAAGGGATTTCATTTGAATATATCATTTATGAAATGATATCAAGAAATTTTTTGCAATGATTGTGTAGTTTTATCATTATTGACCATTGCATGCCTATGACAAGGTGAAAATAATTCATAACTCAAAATATTTTTCCCTACAGCGTGTAATTGAAACTTTTTGATGTATTAGACAAGTGCTACTTTAAGTTTTATATTGAGGTTAATATTGAATGATGGAAAAGGCTAAATAAGATCACAAACTTCGAATAACATAAAATTTAACTTCGAATTATTATTTGATTTCATTTCTCACATTGCAACATCTTCTGCAGTTAAGGCATTCTCTGAATCTGTGATGGAAATTGCTCTCTCTGCAGTAATGGGAGTAAGACTTGCAGATGTCATAGTTACAAACCCTAGAAAGAGATTTAAATCTATATATTTATGTTTGCAAATGTTTTTCCTTATATATCACTGTAGGGGTAGTTCACCTGACCACAAATTCAATTGTGAAGTCATAAAAAATTTCACAGTGACATTATAAATGGTAGATATGCTCAAAGGATTCAAACAATACTAAGTTTTGAAAAAAAAAAAAAAACACTTCAGGTTTAAGATAATAATTGCAATAATATCTGCTGTAAAGTAGTTACAGAAACAGATATAATTATTAGTAATAAGGTATAATTTTTATGCCCCGCCATGAATATGGCCGGGGCATATAGTGTTTGTCATGTCCGTCTTCCATCCTTCCATCTGTCCTTCTGTCACATTTTGCATTTAGCTCTGTTCAAAGCTAAGTTTCTCAGAAACTATACAAGATATTTTTATCAAATTTCATATGCTGATAGATATTGAAGAGAGCTATGCAACTGCATCAACATTTTTTGACCTTGACCTTTCCTTTGACCTTGACCTCACTTTTCTTAAATTAGTGTTTAGCTAAGTTTTAATGAAATCATTCATTGGACAAGATATTTTTATCAAACTTCATATGCTGATAAATACTGATGAGAGCTATGCAACTGCATCAACATTTTTTGACCTTGACCTTTCCTTTGACCTTAATTTCATTTATTTTTAACTAATGTTTAGCTCAGTTTTAAATAAACCATTCAAAATATTTTTATCAAACTTATTATGCTGATATGCATTTGTGAGAACTATTCAACTGCATCAAAAACATTTGACCTTGAAGTTTCATGTGACCTTGACCTCACTTCTCTTAAATTTGCATTTTGCTTAATTTTAAAGAAACCATTTAAGATTTATTTATGTAAGCTTATGCACTTATACATAATTTGGTGAGAATTTATCATCTGTATCCAACTTTTTATATTTCAATTTCAATTCAAAGAAACTATTCAAGATATTCTCATCAAATTTCATACACTAATACAAATTTTCATGTTGCATTACTAATATACCCCACGGCGGGGCATTCATGTCCTATGGACATATTTCTAGTTAACAATCTATCAGGATATGTTCATATTGATAACACTTAGGCTTAATAACCCTTGCATCTGGGTCCAGTAAAAGAACCCTTTCCCAAATGAAAATTGACTTTTTTTGGCCCAAAATTTTGGTAAAAATTCCCAAATGACAAGCATATTGAATTTTCAGAGCTTTTTATATCTAACAAACTTGAATTTTGAGATCTCAATGATTCAAAAAGATGTGAATAGCGAATAAGCCTTCAATGCAACAGAAAGACAATATAAGACACCAATATTTCCAAATTTTGCCACTTTTTTAAAATTTAAATTTACCAATTGAAAGAGTACAGGATCCTGTACCAAAAAGGGTCAAGTAAGCTGAAATGGGTTGGTATGTGATCATATGACCAATCCACATATTTCACATGACCCATCTGTATCCTGATTAGGATAGTTGTCTTAAAATTATACCAACATCCACCTGCTTCACAATGATTCGTGATGCCCCCATGTTGCCTATATTTTATCAAAGCAAGCATCACACACCCAAATATTTTTTGATTTACTGAAATTATGCATTTATCAATGAAATTAATTGTGTTCTCACACAATAAGTTAAGTACTTTTCAATGATTCAATTATTAGGCTTACTGATTGATTACATTTGATTTTGAACCATATTTCTAAATTCAATTTGCTTAATCGATTTTACGCAACCACTGTCTGGAAATATGCCTTGGGTATAGGAAAAATAAAAAATTGTCGAATATTGTTCCAAAAATATCTTGCAAATGGCCCTGTAATTCTTAGCACAAAAGTGTGTCCAGACAATACAAATCAATGCACAACAGGAAATTCTTCCTGAACAAATCTACAGAAAAGTTACATTAGAGTCAAGCAAATCTAAACTCCAAAATCCATCTAGCAGGTCTGTGTTATCTGGAGGCTAAACTGTTAGGCGAAGAAAATTACTTCAATAAAAACCGCCATTTGATCTTTTGGAAGTGGCCCAATAGGGGTGAACAGATTTCAAACCGAAGCATAAAATACAATCTAAATCAGCTTAATGACTTAGTTTTTCAAAACGCTTCATAAAATCAAAACTTAGGGGATATTTTACAATTTTTTACGCCTAGTTAATGATATCAAGCTCATTTGATGAGAAAACCACAAGGGAAAATTTTAAACACCCACCAAGAATGGTTTCTCCCTACATCTTTGTCCTGAAAGAGTTTTAAATGAAACTATAGAGTGTGATCGAGTGCATAGGAGATGACGAATTGATCAAGAAGTGCTAAATTGTAACATGGCAGGTGTCGTTCTGGAAAATTTGAGCTGGAAAAAGCTCATAGTCCTTGGCGTATTTCTTTTAATTTTAATGATCACGTTCTTTTTAGTCGGAGGTATCGTTTGTAAGTATTGTTTACATTCATTCGAATTTTCTCTGGTTTGATGATTTTGTTTTGCAAGAGAAGAAATGTGATTGACTAAGCTTATTGTACGCATAATTTATTAGAATTGTATTCTACATAAGTGAGATGAATGGATATCATTTATTATTATTAATGGTTTTCTTTGATTGTAACATGGGCCTATATGTAGGTCCCTGATTGTAACTTGTAGCAAACATTTATAGGAACAAAGCAATGAATGATCACTATAATAGGGGGTATAAGACTTTATATTAACAGTCTGCACTATGTAAATATGTCACATTCTACCCAAATATTTGTTGTTGACAGGTGCTACTAAACAGAGTACGCTAGAGTACTTTAGAGTACGCTGGTAAAATCTTATAATTCAATGCAATTAGATTGTTTATATATACACAAACAACTTAAATAAACATCATTATAAAATAATATTTCAATATTTGTCTCAAAATTTTGTTTTTTAGCGGTATTTTGACCAGAAAATATAAGCTGACATCCGATCCTGATTATTATTTTGTTTCGAGAAAATTACATCGATGACTCATCCAATTTGAAACTAAATCCAAAAATAATTATCTATTTTCTTGTAAATTACGTTTTTGAACAAATTTTACATAAATATTCTCTAACTCAGTATCACATACAAATAAAAAAAGTTAACTAAAAAAAGTTTTACTAATAGATAAATTCTAATTTCAATATCAAATAAATAATATTGTGCATATAAGTTACTTCAATAAAAAATACCTATGTTTAGTGGACCCTCAAAAAACTTAAACGTACATAAAAAAACAAGAAAATAAGCTATTATCTTGATGATAGAAGTAAAATGTTCTATTATTAGATCGGGATCGGGGTCAAACGGTAAATCGTAACCAGAAACGATTAATTGAAATAATTCCGAAAATAATGAAAACATACACAAATTATTCAGGATATATATTTATTATGTTAAACTTATGTAGAAACACATATAAAAAGCATTTTATTTGCATTAAATTATAAAAAAAAATTTAACGTACTCGTAAGTACTCTATCGTAGAGAACAGTCTTAGTGAGGATATCAAAAACTCTTCATCATTATCTATCTTAAAAGCAAAGCTTAAAAATTGGGGAGTAACTAATAAACCATGTAGGTACTTTAACTTTGGTAATAGAAAAGAGAATATCTTACATTGTCAGTTGCGAAACAATGCTAGCAATCTCAATGCACATTTAAAAAATCATTTTTTATCAGACGTACAATCATGTCAAAAATGTGGATTTTATACAGAGGATACTGAACATTACTTTATCAAATGTCCATCATATATTGTTCAAAGAAATTTACTGGTAAAAAAATTAAATGATATTGATGTTGTCTTTGAACTCGACACTCTGTTAAGAGGCAAAAGTCAATATTCCTATCAAACAAACTGTAAAATATTTTCATATGTACATGAATTTATAAAATCTACTAAGAGACTTAGTTGTAATATTAAATACGCTGTTGAATGTATATATATATATTATTTTTACAATATTCATATGAAAGCTGGAACAGTATGAAAATAATTTGTATACAATTAGGGGGTTATCATCTTTTTTTATGATACTGATGAATAATACTTGATTATGAATCTTTATTTTCCATTATTAGCAAGTTTATTACCATGTTCAAGTATTATTATTCAATGTCTATGTCTTGACCTATTATACAAGGAGAGGGTGTGCATAGGCCTTGCCTGTTGCCCAATCCTTATTGAATTACTCAATAAAAATATGTTTAAATTAAAGTACTCTATCGTACTCTAGCTTACTCTGTTTAGTAGGACTGTTGTTGACATCATCACTATTTAGAGAATGACTATATACTGCCGTTCCACAGACCATTGTTTATGTGAGCATTTCATTCCATGAAACATACTGTCAAGAAACATACAGCAAAGATACTGTCATTAACTATATTGCTTTGCAATATACTCACTGATTGGCTGAGTGCTACCAATTGAGTTCAATCACACCTTTCTATCTCTTTATCTTGAAATTTTGACTTAAAGTCTGTTCTTGCATGGTTTATGGTGTTGGGGCCTGATCTTTATGTAATTAGAAGTTTGCACTTTCTAAAGTAAGTCTACACCTGTAAGGGAAAAAAACATTTTTTTTTTTAAGTGCTTGTTTTTCAAAGTAGACAAAAGTACAGTGTACTGATACACTCTTCCTTTAAACAGAGTAACATGGTAAGCATTTTAGAAATTCTTCTTCCCTCAGTCAAGATTCAGGCTATAGGATGGGACTAAATTGATCAATTATTAAAAATGCTTTATTTTCATAAATTATTTTAATTCCTGATAATCTGGATAACAGACAAACTATATTTGCATTTGACAATGTGGTTTTATCTTAGAATTGAAAATTCATGCCACATTGGCCCAGAATTTTTGTCCCAAGTTGGGCAGGGGCAGCATAATCATTCTTTGAGCATGATGCTTATAAAGTTATATGTTAATGTTTGTGACTCTGAAGGCCTGTGGGCCTCGTTATAATTTTGTTAACATCAGAAAATAGTAATAAGCTTGTTTAAAAAATATTTTTTAGTCATAAATTGTGACTATTTTCCAGAATTGATATGCAAATTCTTGTTAGAAGAACATCACAATAATTATTTTGATTTGTCTCATCTTGACATTAGTAAATCTAAATAAAAATGTATATATTATTTTATTTAAGAGACTTCCTCAGCTTTTTGATTTATTGATTTTTTTTTTAAATAATCGTTAGTTTATTTCAATGATTTATTTGAATTAAGCACCAAAGCCATCAAATGTTGTCACCGTATTGGCAACCAGGTGCTATGACAGAGGAAGCAGACTAAACAGGACAAAATGGTTCATTCCGAGAGGGCCACATAAGTGTGAGGAATTGCCGTCTCTTGACCCTGAGGATGAGATCATCATCAACAATTCTATCACTGAGAAGCAGGTGGTGTTTTCCTTCTGGATCCCAGGGCCACGAGACGGGGCCGAGAGGAAAATGTCTCCTCTGTTCCAGTCCATGTTAGGAGTACTGCAGCTTGATGTCGAAAAAAACTTAAAAGTACCACTGTGTAAGAAATTTCTTAATTATCAGACTGCATTCAGCCAAAGAAACAAACATGATGATTTTTCCATAAATGAAAATATTTTTCTTACAAATCAAATTATACTGTATATGTATAAACTGAATATTGAAATGATTAGAAAGATTATTGGTAAAACAATCTTGTCTAAAATGTTAAAAATGTCATGCATATTTTACACATTTTAAACCATTTCTGCTTCTTAAGAAATCAAAAGTACATGTTGATTTATCTAAGACTTAGATATGTCTAGCGAAGATGATTTTAAACAAAGTGGCTGATGAAAATTGCTATGAAATTATTTGGTTTTTAAAGACTAGTACCATCTGTTATTATGATGAGAATATATTCAGATGCTAAACATTATTTACAGCTAAGAACCCGGTTCTCCAGCTTGATGTTCGTATGGGGGTCAGAGATGAGGATGACAAGGACGATGACTGGAAGCTCCTGGCAAGCTCAGTGGAAGACCGCAATCTACAATGTAAGCTGGTAAGTAAAATAACGGGTTATGCTGAAAAATTGTAAAGGTACACATACCTAATGTCCAAAAAAAAATAAAAGAATGACCATGACACTGTGATTCAATTCATAAATGTGTATTCTTGAGAGTTTTTTAAGTTTTTTTCTTTCAAAAACATTGCTGATTTTACTGCAAGGTTCCTTACTAACAATATACGGAAAAAAAAATTAATTTCCACCTGATTTATTAAAATCAGAAGACTTTCTGTTCACTAAAAAATTGCAAACAGAGTCTGATTTCAAATATGAAACTAAAAAAAAAAGTATATATAAATTATACTATTATATAAATATACTATCATGATTGCATTGTATGAACATTGTTTTAAAAGGTCAAACTCAATAGACTGTGCATATTGCACTCATCAAAGGGAAGTAACTCAAATTGTAAGTCAGGAGTGGTCTTGACATAGCTCTGTTTGAATGCTATTTTTGTAGAATATATAGAGGATATTCAATATTTTGTAGTAATATGGAATTTATTTCAAGGGTGATGCAAGCTTTTTTTTAGCTCTTCTGAGCCAAAGCTCAAAGAGCTAATGCTATGGCCATTTGTGCGGTATGTGTAAACTTTTTGGAAAAAGGGCCATATCTCAAGAATCCTTTAGTCAATTAAATGTAAATTTAAGACTATGTTAACACTCAACTCTGTTCTGTTCAAATTTTGCATCTGTATAGCTTTTGGAAAAGTGAAAGTCCAAAGTCTGACATGATTACAGTATTCAGAATGATATGGAATCATTTTAATTTTGAGAGAGAAGACAATACATGTAATAACAATGTAGTTTCCAAATGCTATTCAGTATCTATAGACAACCATACAGAAGCAACAAAAAAGATGACAGAAAAGGAGAGCATATGTTAGGGGTGAAACGATACACCTCCTTCATGGTTGATACATATTGTATAATTTTGTCTTGGTACGTTTATTTTCGATACGATACATTTTGATAGAAGGAAACAAATTCAACCTTGTTTTATGCTTTCTTTTACTAAATCTAGTCACTTAATTGACTAATTTTTATTTGCAAATTGACTGGAAGAAATTGATTAGAGTTATTTGACTGTCAAAAATTATTTTACAAACTATCTCTCATCAAAAATTTAGTTTTCTATGCTTATTTATACTGAGTAACGTGTTTTACCTTATGCCAAACCCGACTGAATAACTATCCCGACCGAAAAATGAACCGAACCGAAAATTAAAGATTTTGCACCATGTATCAAACCAAGAAAATATACCGCGGTGAATTGATACTGCGGTGAACTGTTTCACTCCTAGCATATGTTTGGAATTACCCCATGTCCAGAATCAGAGTGATCTTCCCTATCTACAGAATGTATTTTTTTCTTATTCTATCTGTATTTATTTTATTAAGGACAAGAACAAAAAGGAGGGCTATTTGTATGACTGTGAACTCCTGCAGCTTTTTGAGCTGGGAAGCATCAGTCATCATTTCTATTTGGTGAATATCAGGCTTCCCGTCAATTTCTTGAAAGGCTACAATGTGGGAATTGGCAAAGTGGTGGATATGTACATTCATGTAAGTAGATATGATTGTGTACAACATTTGATTTATGTTTGATACAGACTGTAAGACATGTTTCAAAACTGAATAGAAAGAAACCAGGTACATCATGAACATGCTACTGTACTGATTCCTAAATATATGTGAGGAATTAATTATTGCTTAATTTCACGAGAAGTATCATCTGCGAAATAAAATTACCTCTTTTATTTTTATGGTATGAAATCAAAGTAAAATCTCTTGATCTACCGTCCAATTGCGAATTATTCTTTTTGTGATTTGACGTTAATGAAACATTTTGCAATAATAAGTACTCGCGAAAAATAAGGAATCTACAGTATTTCTTCTCTAATCCTCAAAGATTATATTTCTAAAATTCTCGTCTTGATTTATTTAATAAAAGGACAATTTTTTGTACCTGTAGGTAATACATCAGAATGGAGGTTTCACCATCGTGTGGGTAACAATGAAGAGTGTAATGTTCTTACTGGTCCTGTCTATTCTTATCTGGTTCTGGAGGAGAATCATGCAGTTAGGGAGACCACCAAATCTATTAGAAAGGTAGAAATAAATTGTAGACTAGCTATGGAGAATATAAAATCTATTAGAAAGGTAGAAATGTCACCTGTGTATAAAACTGTAGACTAGCTATGGAGAATGCCCTGTATATTAGAAAGGTAGAAATGTCATGTTTCAAAAAATTGTAAACTAAGAACTACATTGTACATGTGCCTTTAATGGTATCTAAAGTGACACTTGGCCCAGCAATGGTGCAATAGTTCATTAATGCACATTTAAGTCTTAGCATTCAGTTAATTTTCTAATTTTTTATTCAGATTTTCCAAAAATGTTAAAGAACTTTGAAACATCCATTGATGTTTAGTCTTTTTGTAACACAAGGGATTTAAATGGAAATGTGATATTTGTTTTCAGAACTTTGTTTGCCTTAGGAGTTGTAATGTCAATCCTTAATTGTGAGTATACTTTTTGATAAAGAATAAATGCAAACACTTATTTTCTCCATACAAGGAATACCGTATTGTAAATACACTGTATATATTTCATGTGACTTTGTAAGTGTATTTGAGAGGCAATTGTATAGTGATTATTCATGTTAGGTAATTACATGTACCAGTATATGATGATAATTAATTGATGTTATTTCCAGTTATCAATAAAGAGAACTTTATTCTTGTGTCCATCCAATTTTGGGAAATTAATGTAAATGAAGTTCTCTTCAATAAAGTGTGATTTAAAGTACAGATAAGAGTATTTTTGACCCATCTTTAATATTGAAAACAATACTGTTCTATGGATCCGATTATGAAGTGAGAGTACAGGGAAATATTTTACACTTTGTAATGAATGAGGAATTGGCTGGATTGCAAATCAGTATTTAAATTTTTCTCGCTGTATCCTTCTGCTCCATGAATTTTGTTTTACTGTTGTGTTTAGCTCTGCTTGAGTGACCTATTTAACATATAATCTTCAAACTTCATACATAGGTCAGAATGTTTGAAATATTCCCATTTGTTTAAACCTAAGCATTGACTTTGACATTTTTAAGAAAACATTTATATCTGACTTATTTTTATAAATCAGGATGCTATTTTTATGCCCTGCCATGATATGGCCGAGGCATATAGTGTTTGTCTTGTCCATCTTCCGTCTTTCTGTCCTTTTGTTTGACCATCCATCACACTTTGTGTTTAGCTCAGTTTGAAAGAAACTATTTAAGATATTTTTATCAAACTTAATATGCTGATACATATTAATGAGAGCTATTGAATGGCATCAATATATTTTGACCTTGATCTTTCCTTGGACCCTGACCTTACTTTTAAAAATGTGTTTAGCTCAGTTTCAAAGAAACTATTCAAACCCTGATCTTCCCAATGATCTTTGACTTTACTATTTATTGTGTCTAAAACACAAGTTTTAAAGAAACTATTCAAGGTAATTTCATCAAATTTCGTGCACTAATATAAATTTTCATGTTGCAAATACTAATGAACCCTGGGCAGGGCATTCATGTCCTATGGACATATTTTTAGTTTTCAGCTCACCAGAGCCTTTGGCTCAGGTAAGCTTTTCTGATCACATTTTGTCCAGCATCTGTCTGTGAACTTTCACATTTTTTACATCTCCTCAAGAACCATTGGGCCAAATTCAACCAAACTTGCTATAAAGTATCCTTAGGTAAAGAGAATACAAGTTTGTTCAAATGAAGGACCATGCCTTCTTCCAGTGGGATATACTGTAAATGTATAATATTTAGCTCTGTATTCTTTTAAGCACCTTTTGCGGAAAGAAACTTCTTCTTATTCAAGTACGCCAATTATCTTGCACATATATACATAAATAAGAACATAAAGAAATGTGCTATTAAATCTACACTAACTTGTTCAAAAATCAATTTCCGCCAAATATTGTACACGCTAAATATAATATATTTACAGTAATTACAAATTAGTGAAAAATTAATGTCATCTTTATAAAATCTTCTTCTCAAGAGCCACTTGGCTAGAAAATATAAAACTTATGTGGAAGCGTCCTCCAATAGTGTTTAATCAAATTTGTTCAAATCATGACCTCGGGGGTACATGGGGCCACAACGGGCGATCAAAGTTTTACATACTGTATAACGGCTTATTTTTACTGCTGTAAATTTTTACAAATTTTGGTTCAAACAGGGTGATTTAAATTTTTACGCGTTAAATTTTTACGAATTCAGCATGTCCGTAAAAATTTAAATTATTGGAGGTAAATTTCCAGATCAATGATTGTTAGCACTTTGAATGCATTTACATACAAATAAATGTGTCTGGACAACCCGACATGATTTAATTGACAGTTTTACAATTGTATTAAAAAGACGAAGTTTTTATTTGATGCAGAAGAAGGGGTCAAAGACTTTAAAAAACGGATATATAATTGGAAGACCTGTAATAATTAAGTCATAATCAGAAATTATGCGTCTCGTAAAACTAATAATGATAAAGTAACTAGGTAATTGACAATGTTTGTATAACTTATGCAAGTTAATTAAGATTTACCCGTAGGATCCAAATTGATGATCAACTTAAAAGTGCTCAAAAATACCAACAGTACTAATTCTATAGCTTCCAGGGACTGATCATGAGCTGAAAGGCAATTTGCATTACTCTCATACCTACGATGTTGAAAATTTACGTTAGGCGTTATTACTTCTGTGAAATTTTACGCATTTAAATTTTACAGATTCTTAAAAATCGTAAAAATTAGTAAAAAATAGTGGCACATAAAAAATATTCATTATACAGTATGAATACAAAGACAAAATCTTTTAAAATCGTCATCTCAAGAACAGCAAAGCCATGATTTGTCATATGTATATAGAAGCATCCTCAGGTAATGTAGATTCAAATTTGTTCAAATCATTATCCCCAAATGTAGAGAGCAGGGATGGGGTCAATTACTTTAAAAAGTAATTAATTAAATTACAATTACTTTGACTTTTTCTTCAATTAAATTACAGGCTTTCTAAGATGTGTAATTAATTAAATTACAATTACTTTGCAAAAGTAATTAATTAAATTACAAATTACATTTTTAATTTTTTTGAAAATTTTCATAATCCTTGTCAATGCATATACAGAACATCATTTATTTGTATATAAGCTCAGC